CCACACAGTGCTTGGTGGTGGCACAGAATCACAGGGTGTCGGGGGCCTGGTTGAGGTGATTTCTGCAAACCTCCCTTCTGCAAGGGACTAGACAGAATCCCGGGTACTGCAGGTACTAGAAGGTATGTGGGAAACAGAGTGAGGGATGGGCGAGAACATGGAGGGTCCCCATTGCCCCTTGTGTACTCTTTGGTCAACGCTGGACAATGCGTCACCATTTTCGATGTCCGCTGGGCCCTTTCATGGGTGGCAACTGCTGGGCCCGAGCCAGGCATATGTGACTGTTGGACCCATCTGTTGCAAGAGCACCTCCTAGCCCCACCTCTTGAGTTTGCATGATACTCCCAGGCCATCCATTCATCTGTGCCAGGGCAGCCTCAACCAAGGATGGATACTTGGCCCACCACAGGCAAGTGTGCCTGCTGGGCCAGCCTCAAGTATGTAAACTTGCTGAGGGGCCTCACACAGGGACAGGAAGATGCATATTCACCTGCTGGGTGCTCAGCCTTAGCCTGTATCGCCTACCACGCATGTCAGGCACCCCCCTCCCCACCCCACACACCCCACCCCACCCCCGTGCACGTATGCGCTTGCGTGCGCATACACAAACACACACACACACACACACACACACACACACACACACACACACCCCTCATATATGTATACCAGCTGGGCCCACTTGCTGGGCCTTTCTCACGTATAGGTGCTGTTCCAGCCAATCAGTAAGCATGCTTGCTTGTGGGGGCAGACAGTAGCTAGGTGTTACTTTCCTCAAAAGAGAAAGAGGTTTCTGAGGGGTGGGTCTCGGAATAGGATTGTCTTGGTGGGTGACAAGAAATCAGCAGAAAGGGCTGAGATTGAGGGCTACAGGCTTGTGGAGAGCTCTGCATTCAACCAGAAAAATGGAACAGAAAGTGATTGGATGTGGTGGGATATCGGTGTCATCCTCCTGCCTCCTCTTTGCTCCAGCACAGCAAGTGCCAGGACACATGGCCACAGCCTGTGGAGTCCCGGTACCTGTTTCCATTGCCGTCATGAAATTGCTTCTTGGTGTCTTTACTGTCTGTGCACACCAGCATTTCAGGAGTCCTGCCCAGCCCAGCAAGGCCCCAGCCATGTCAAGCAAGGAACAGAAAGACATGGAGAGACGTGCCAAGCGCCCAAGGGTTGATCAGAATCTCCCATCAGATGACTTCCAGAACCCAGATGCAATCACCCCCGGTAACAACTGATAAGGGGCATATAGGGCTGGGCCTAACGGAGGGGACATTATACTACTCCTTGGCAGGTGGAGCACAGGAGTGGCCTGGTACTAACCAGGTCATTGCATGGGATTGCGTGGGTGGGGTGGAGATGGGAGATTCGGGTGCTGAGAGCTGATTCTCAAAGCATATTCTGGGTTTCTGTCCCCACCTGACGTTCTCACCCCGTGGCAGAGGTACAAGGCTCACAGAGGAGAGCCATTGTCCTGACCAATGTGCCTCTGACAAAGCCCATGGGTCACAGTGAATTTCCTTGAAAAGCTTGTACAAATACATGTACCTGCTGTCCCCAGACTCCGGCCGAGCTGAATTTCACCTGTGTGTGTGTGTGTGTGTGTGTGTGTGTGTGTGTGTGTGTGTGTGTGTGTGTGTGTTGGGGTGGGGGGCATGAGTTCCTGGAAGACTACTTTAAAACTGTTGTTGGCCATGGGCTCAACCAACCCTAGAGTGAAGCTGTTTCCCATGTAGGATGATGAGAACAGCACACTTCATTCGCAAAGGTTTTTTTTTTTTTTCCTTTCTTCTCAATGCAGCAAACAATCCAGCAGTTGATACCAGTGAGATGGGCAGCTGTTCCTCAGGACCAGACGTGCAAGAGGCCAGGTGATGTCTTAAAGGAACTTTGGCCTGTCCCAGGAGGTAGTTTCAGTGTGGTTTTATGCAGGCATACAAAGAAATTTCTGCCCTTTGCTGGAAAATGGATCCAAACGGAGAGTTTGGTGTTAAGTGAAATAAGCCAGCACCAAAGAGACCACAGTCACCTGTTTTCTCTCATTTGATGATCCTAAATTATAAATAGGTCCATAAAATAATATAATCCGAATTCAGAAGAGAGGCTGGGAAGAGGCAGGCAATGCCCAATAGAGGGGAAGGTTTGAGGAGTAGAGGCCGACTCTGGAGGTTGAATATGGTCACATGGCATGAAAGTTGAAGAGACACTGGCTGGGTGATAGAGGAGGACTAGCAGGAGGGTACTGAGGAAGGATGAGAGGGAATATGGCTGGAGTGCACGACAGATGGGTGAGTACACCTTTATGAGGCGCCTTGCAGCTGTACCGTGGATGGGTTCCAGTAAACCTTTAGTATAAAATCCCCTACACTGCCACAACATAACACGGGAGTCACCGCTTGAGGAGAGGGGACACTTCCGTGGAGCTGCCTGCAGTTGGGCAGGGAGCGAACGCCAGGGATGCAGTTTTCATGTGTCATCCAACACCCAGCCAGAGGTTGGGGTCCTGGGGATACAGCTGACTTTGAGTCACCCATGCTCCAGTAAGTAACCCTTACCCATGTGCCCGTATGTATTCTGCAGTGAACTCATTGGTTCACTGTGAAAACGCGAATAAAGGAATAAAAGTAATGGCCCCAAACAGGAAAATCCAACTTTGCCTCACATAAGCGCTAGTCTCTCCAAAACCAAGCGCCTCACCTTTCCTTCGAAGCAAACTTGGGATGTTTGTCCTCAATTAAGGATTCTTGTGTGCATTTTCCATAGGGAGCCTGTTCAGAAGAGGATACCGGATGTCAAAGGTGTGTTTGAGCAGATGTTGCTAGTCCCAGAGCCCTCTTTCTGACCCTACAACTTAATATGTGGTGAGAACGTGGTCACCCGCCAACAGGACTCTGTTACACTTCTGTCGCCCAGAGGATTTTTGGGGGTGGGGTGGGGTGGGGTGGGGGAGACAGTAAATTGCCATTTATCCTTCAGGGGGCACCTTTAGTTTAACTTTTAGCTGGCCTCTCTGAGCAGGGGGGTGTTGTAGCTGTCACTGAGGCCGTGGGGAGAGTTTCCTGCTTCCTGCATTGCTGAAGAGTGTTACTAGGGATGATGGGCAAGCAGATAAGTCTCTGCTTTTTATCTTTACTGCACGAGTGGCATGTCGCATTTCAACAGCTGTTTTTCACCTTCTGAATTAAGTCATTTTTTTTCTGGCTTTCCGAAGTTGCTCTCCTCCAGGAAGCCCTGCCAAAGGAGGGCATGGAAAACAGCCTTTAGGCCGTACACGTTTATGAGCCTGCCAGGGAATGCTGAAGGCAGCCACACTGTGGACAGGGAAGAAAAGTGTGATAGCATGCAAACATCATGCATGCCACACTAGCTTGTTTTCTGTCATCCACGGTAACCAAGTCAGTGTACCACACGCCCCTCAGGCCGAGACAGCTTTTATTCACTGGTGTAGGTGGCCCTAAAACAGCATTACTGGAGAGACACCGTCAGTTCTTAGCCAGTGTATAGAGTCAATTCATACAAGCAAGGATGTCTGACAGCATCGCTCTTTCTGGTACAGATGAACTGCTTGGGTTTTTGAGGTGTCCAGAAAATGGTTTGTCAGTGGCGGTCACTCGTCAAAGCTCGATGCCCCCACACCTGTATTCCTAGCACTTAGGAAGTGGAGGCAGGAGAATCAGGAACTGGAAGTCGTCCTCACTTACCTCTCAAGTTTGAGACCAGCCTGGGCTACACAAGACCCGGTCTAAAATTAAAAAATAAAAATACAACGAAGAGCAAAATGGACACCAGATCTGTAGATACTCCTATTACCGTGTAGGTGATGTGTCAGGGATGAAAGTGCGCCTCTTCCTCTGGGTATTTGATTTAAAGTGATACCATTTCCTTTCTCGACTAGGTGACGTTACTCGGTACCTTCTGGCAAAGAGGAAGCAGTTTGAAAAGGATATAAATGCCTCTTTGAGCAGCCTGAATGAAAGCCTCCAGAGTGTTTTCAAAACCCAACAGAAGTCAAGGTAAAGTTGTGACCCTCTGTCAACGAGACCTGTACAGCTTTTACTCTTCCTTCCAAAGTCACTCCTGCCTGCCATTGTGGTCCTGCACAGAGTGGAATCGCTAATGGGACCTACATAGCACTGCATTTTCTCTATGAGCTAGTCCTATTCATAGCTGGCGGGGACCCCCCCCCTCCCCCACTTTTACGCAGCTGAGATGTATTAGCTTCAAGACTGGCAAGAGACCGGTTTCCCCCCTGTCAGATAACAATACAGATAACTTCCTGTAAGGAAGGCCAGTCTTCTATGGTCTACGTTGTGCCCATGTCGGGGGCGGAGGTTCTGTGCCCTCTTCGTGTATCTAAAGTCCCAGAGGATGAAGGGTATGTTGCCTTCACAACACAGACTTGGGCTCTCAGAATCTCTAGGTTACTCCATAAGGGAAAGGGAAGATGAGTCTAATTTTAAGCCAGAAATGCAATCTTGGGAAATGTATGCATCACAGCATCCTAGGTGTTCGAGAGGGAAGACAGGTGAAATGGCGGCGCGTCACTGGCAGCAAATTAGGACAACATTCTTCTGGGACGAGAGTCACATTGCTGCCTCTCAAGAGCCAATTTCATTCATGTCCCCTTTCTCTTTTGCTCCTAGCTCTTGTTTCAAAATGATGAGTGTGTGCGCCATTGCCTTACCCACACGCAGTGTGACAATGCTCAGTAATTGTTACTGTGTTTTACAGGCAGGAGCTTCACTCCATGCACTCCCAGATGTTTGAGTCTCTCTATCACAAGTGGCTGGACGAGGTAGGGAGAGCAAGGGAGCAAGAAGAACACCTTACTGTGAGTGTCTCTCTCTTAGCTTGGACTAGATCCACTGTGTCTGTTTCCAAAGTGTCAGGGCTTCAGTGCATCAAGTCGAGAGGGAAAGGGACAGGACAGGACATGAGCCTACGGAGACAAGGAGGGGGGTGGATGTGGCCTGGAGAGACTGGCCATCCTCTCTGGCTTGCTTCTTTTTCTGTGGAGGGGTGATGTGGTCATGGGTTAGGAGCCAGCATGGGGGGCTGGGGGAGGCTGAGCAGGCACTGCCTGGAGAGTGCAGGAGAAGGTATGGGCTTGTATGCTCAGAGGGAGGGGAGCCTTTGTGATCCACACAGTGCGGATGCCAAGTAGTGCGGGATGGGGTGGGGCTTGGGGGGGGGTCCCAGGTAGCCTTCTGACACAGTGATCAGGGAGGCAGAGTGAGAACAGTCAGTATGGACACCGAGTAGTGCGGTCTTTGAGGAATCTTTCATCCTGATGGAGGATAGAACTGTACTCCCAAAGGCGCTGACTTCCAAAGGTGGGGAAGCAGAACCTGGAATCTGAGGGAGATGGAGACAGATTCCAGTCTGGTGGTGAGGAGCATGTTCTCTGGACCCCATTGCTTGGGATGCAACCATAGTCCTGACACTTGCTCATTGTGAAAGCTCAGGAAAATAATTAACCTCCCTGCCTCAGTTTCCTAGGAGTAAAAGCCGACCTGTGAAGAATCCCTACCTTTCTAGACTTTGTGTATTGAGTGGTTTCATTTTGTGGCATGTTGCTATGGAACGTTTGACCGTGGGAGCTGATGCATGTTTGCTGTTCGTCTTCCCTGCCCTTCTTATTTGGTTGATAATGTAGTTGATGGAATGTCACAAGCTGGGGAATGACTGATTGATGAGGAAGGCTTTGGTCAAAAAAAAAAAAATTTTTTTTTTTTTTTTTGAAAAGAAGGGTTTCCTTGGAAGCTATTCTGTGTCCTCGTTGTATTAAAATAAATACTTTATGAAAACAAAGGAATGCTTTGTACTTAATTTTGGTGAGGTGAGAATCCACAGATTAGGTGGGTCTTGTGTTAATTTCAAAATGAATAATTATTTCATAGAATTTTTGCACAGGCTTGACAGACTATCTCACTCTGTGACTGGTCAGACCGTGTTATGTTGCTTTTGGCAGTGAAGGGCATGTCTTCAAACTTGTTCATGAATGTCAGAACACAAAACATCACGGGAAGCAGTTCCTGTAAGCAGCAGGGTTGGATGTTGAGCTTTACTGACATTTTGTCATTGATTTCCTCTATTTCAGCTTATAGCTCAGCAGCAGATGAAGATTTTACAGAAAGCTATAGAGGATCATGAAACCAGGATTGAAAACGCTAAAGATTTATGTGACACATTTTTGAAGGTCTGGTGGATTGCACTTGTTAACAGAACACACCCATTTATGTCACACCAGGTGTCTGTAAAAGCAGAAGACAGGTTGGCCCTTTCTCAGTTTGTGGGAGAAGTAATTAGTTTTGAAAACCGGGATCACATTCTCTTTGGATTATTTTCCCCACACATAGGAGAAATGCTAAGGTTTGTTTAACCTGGGAAACTGATGACAGTGTTGGGGACAGTGTTCTAGCACGGGAGCTGGTGACTGGAAATTTGCTTAGAAAGGAGCATACTGCATCGCGGTGATGAGCTATTAGTGACCTCTCGTGACATTTCGATGGAAATTGGCAAGTCTGGGGATCCTTCTGGTTTTCTTTGACTCGTTTGGATTGGACAGGTCGGTAAAACAAGCAATGGGCAAGGGTAGATTTTATTTTCTTTCATGTTGAGTGTTTTGTAGTCTTCCGACATCAGCATTGTTCTTGAGTATTGGTGGCCGTGTATTTCAAGAGCTCCCCAAGAGATGTGGGGAATGACAAAGCTGGCAGAGGATTAACCCTCTTTGAACTGAGAGCTGCGAGCTGGCAATCGTACCCTTGCCGAAGCTCTAGTTCCTAAGTGACCTCTATATATCCAGGAGTTGAAGCAGCCCTTCAATGGGAATTCTTTTGGATGCTCTCATTTAAATACACTATGAAATAATCTCTCCTCATATCTGATTCAGATGCCTTAACTAACGTGCTCAGTGTGCCACAGTAAATTAAATGTTTTCAAGATGCTATCGAGAAGCTAGGCCTGTCTTTGCTGAGCAAGCATGAGTACCCCATTTAGTACCCTAGTGAATATCCCCAGCAGCCATGTGTCCTCCAGGCATGGCAACAGGTGCCTGTAACCCCAGAGTGGTGAGGGTAGAGAGAGACACAAGGACCCCTGGGGCTTGTGGGACCACCAGTACAGCCAAATTGGAAACCCCGTGTTTAGTGAGAGACCCTGCTTCAAAAAGTCATGTGGTGAGCGGTTCAGGAAGGCGCCGGCACATGGGAGCACACACATGTGTATGCGTGCAAACATGTACATGTGAAGGAAATCACTTTGAGTGTTTTTTATGACCTCTGGTCTCCACACTCAAGCACACATACAGGGACACCCTCCGGCACACACCCATGCACACAGAAAAGTAAAAATGAATTTTCAAGACCTTGGGGGCCATCTACATACATCCAGTCCTTTAGGAAGAGCTTAAGGAAAGGGAACATGCAGCTCTAATGCAGCTGAATACTGCTTGGGAACTGGTTGGAAGAACTGACCAGAAAGGCTTGATTCTAACTGTGAGTGCTCAATGTGAGCAGCACCACAGAGGGAGCCTTGTGACTGGGCCTCTCTGGCTTCCCAGGTGGTCCCTGCCCTTCTGCCCTGTGCTCTTCTGACTCCCTCACTCTCTTGATCTCCCTCTGCCTCTCCACTCAGGCTTCCCTCCTTTCCTAGTCCTTGGCTCTGGCTCTGAGGGACTATTGTCCTGAAACATGGCCTTCCAGATTTCCCAGAGGCCTTCCTTCTTAATTCTCTCTGCTTCCTGTGTCCTCTGCACAACACGCCCCCTCTCCCTCCCCCTCCGTCCCCCCCCCCCCCCCACAGCCTCTTGACAGCTTCACTGGCTGCCTGCTTCCCTCTGTCCATCTTGTCTTCCCTCCTCCCAGTGCACCAGCTTCCCCTGAAGTGGCTCCTATTCCGTGTCCATGCTTTGCTTCTGCTCTTTGCCCAGAAAGCTCCCTGTGCCTTGTCTTCTCTAAGGAAATCTTACGTTTTTACTGCTTGAAGTCACCATTTGTGTCCTTTTCAGCCGCGAGCCCAGCAAGCTCCCCTTCCATACCTGTTTTCAGCTAGTGTGCATGTCATCTGTTCCCAAGGTGCTCTGGGCCCTGGGAATAGGGCAGAGACTGAACAGGCATTTTGCAATTTCTGGACAGAGGGTGACACAGTTCTTTCTCCTCTGTGTCCACCACTGCAGTGTGCTTTGAGAGATCAGAGGGGTTTGAGTCCCCGCTTGAGCGTTTCTTAGATTGAAGGGTCATGGGATCGTACACTGTGTCTTCCTCTGAAAAATCACATTCCATGGACATAGTGAATGGCTCCCTCCTCTGGGAAACCTTGGGGGTCTCCAACGTGGGCCTGTGCCTCGTTTTCCATGTCTGCTCCGTGGGACCTTTTAACTGATCCTCCACCCATTTTCGGAGATAAGTGTCTTAGCTGTTGTTGTCCCACAATGGCACCACCTTAAAATGTGGCACTGGAGCTTTCTTTGGAGTGGCTATTTAGATGTGTGTGAAGTAGCCACTGTTCGTTCTTTGAATTCATAGCAAGCGTCCTTTGGATATGCAGAGTCGGTTCTTTTGAAATTAAATGAGGTGAGGTGTCAAGCCAAGCCAGGGCTTTGTGCTCAAGCAGAGTTTTGTTTGTTTGCTTGTTTGTTTTTTTTCAGAAAGCCAAGGACTTGAGTGAACATCTCAAAGCTTTTATTGGTGGTGAAGAAAGTGAAGTGAAGAAAGAAATCTCCAAGGCGCAGGACAGAGTTATCATGGAAACTGTAAGTCGTGTGTCTGTAATGCCGTGAGCCTCGAGATGGCTTCCTACGGGCAGAGATGCAATAACAATTCCCTAATTCTCCATTTTCAAACAGCAAGAGCAAGATGTGTCTGTTGTTGAAACATACCTTCAATCCCTGGTCCTTGACCACTCTGAAGAAACCATCTGACGCTCACGTAGAGGACGCACAGGGAGCATTAGCCATGCTAAGAGGACGTTAGTAGCAGTCAGTGCAGCTCCTTTCTCTTTACTTCGCTTGTTAGAAATATGACTGAGACTCTGTTAACCATTAAGTGAACCCCCAACAGTTCTGTGAGTAGCAACAGTTAAGTGTGGATCCTCCAGCCCCTGACAGCAAGGGAGATACATTCTCCCCAGCAGTGGCAGTTACATTTTGCAAGAAAATGTCATTTGATTTTACGATTGGCTTCTTTGGTTCTCTGTCACTTGCCCAAAGTGAATGTTACCTTTCTTATTTCAGGAAGAAATAAATAACGGTGGGATCCATTTTTCTGTGCATGCTTTCATTTATTCAGGAGGTCACAGAGCCAATTCCATTGCAAATGGGCCTTTACAGGAAAACCAACCCGACATGTTCACTCAGACTTAACTGAGCACAACTCATGTTTTCCTGCCCAGATGTGCTAAACTGTTGACAGCATTCCCGCAGCAGCAGAGCCAGATCTTAACGTGTTGGGTGTGAGCTTGCAGTGGGGCTGTGGCATTTCCCAAAGACTCGTTTCTAGGCTGTATTCAACCCTGGTTAGAAGACACCTGCCCTCATCTTTGGTCACAAACATTTTATCATCGATGAATATCTGCATAAGCATTTACAGTTTCAGAATTTTAGATGGGTGTTTCCAGGAGCAATTTTTATAGTGCTTCTATTATTCATATTAATTACTCAGCTTGGATGTGGAATTGTACACGTAGGCATCTAACTCTAAAAATTAAAGTTACTATTTTTTTCCTGTGCTGTTTTATAAAGTCTTGAAAACCTTTTTTTGAATCCATTTGAAGTTGTCTAACTGTAATATGTCCTTTATTCATATTCTTTGTGTAGCTTACTATTAAAAAGAAAACCCATCTCCCAAGACTGATCGCCATATTTCCCCAAATTCCTATTTCATCTGTCTCTATTAACCATTCTTCTCTTTTTTTTTGTAAATTTTTAAAATTGATTTATATATTTGAAATTATCCTTAGTTTTACATTTGAATGTTCTTCACGATTTCATTACCACCTATGTATTTATCTGCATACTGTATATATACCAAGCCACCAGGCTTCAACCCTTTACTTCCTTCCAAATATTCCATCTTCCAAAATCACCTGTTTCCAATAGTCTTCTCTTCTATTTTCAGGTCCTTTAAATTATTACTTTTTTCTCCACGTATGAAAGATAATATATTGTACTTGTGTTTCTACGTCTGGCTTTTGTTCCCTCTCAGTATCCTACAGTTGCATCCATTTGCTTACAAATGGCAGAATTTCATTCTCTTTATAAGCTGGGGGAGTCTTCAAATATGTATGCGTTTATGTAATTTTTTTGCCTTCATGAGTTGTCCACTTACGTTGTCTCTTTGTGCTTTTCTATGTCTCCTCTACTTGAATGGTCCTAGGAAGTTGTTAGTTTCCATTGTGGCAGGGGAGGGCAAGACAGAGTATGGTGAGTTTGCAGGGAACTGGGCAGATAGAAGGGATGGTGTCAGTGCTTAGACTGATGGGTACAGGCCTGAGCTGCTCCAAGTTATGGCCTCAGCTGAATTTGGGAGGGGTGGCCAAACATTGCAAATGAATTGGCAACTGCAGCTGTTTGAAGCAAGAAGTGGAAGGTAGCTGTGGCATTCTTGCCCAGAGCATACAGAGAGGTTTCCAACTCCAGTCACAGGTCACAGGAACGATGTTTCAGATTCTGTCCGGCCATCAGCCCTATATGCAGATGATAGCCTGTGGGATGAAACCAGTTGCCAAACAAATATGCTGAGGGCAGGGGGCTTGGATAGCCAAAAATTGAAGGCAGGGCAAGCAAAGTGTCAGACCATTCTGCAAATAACAGTCTGTAGGGTAGAGATTAGCTTTAGGGATATGGCCTCATGTACAAAACCTCAGTCCCAGGGCAGGCAAAGCCATAGATGTTGGAGCATTCCAGGCACTGGCACGCAGGTTATATCTTACTCACATCCAGTGCCAGGCAAACCTCCTGGCAGATCTTGCTGATTAATAAAGGTTAATAATGAGTCATAATCCTCCATGACCCTAGGCCCCACATGCCACTCGCTGTTCTACATCTGTGTCCTCAGCCAAAAGGCGTGCCTTTGCACATGGGTCGTCTCTGCTCTGTGGTCTCCCATGAGAAGGCCATCTTTCTGATGCAGCTGGCCAGGCTGGCCCAGGCTGGTTCAGGGCCAAGAGGTGCATGGGGGGTACCCCCATCCAGGTCCCCCTTGTCTCCCTCCAAAGCGGCTGTTCCTCCACCATCCCTGCCCGCCTGCCTTCCACACCTGCACCCCAAACACCACTGTGTTGCCGCACTAGGCCACCCTGACCTTCTTCCCCTACCTTCCACTCGCTCCCACCTCATGCCCAAAGGAAAAACTAGGGAAACCAGCCTGTAGGTCACCTGCACCCCAGCACCACTCCCACCCGCTGTGTTCCTCCAACTAGGCCCACCTCACCCTCTGCCCCCACCCCCACCCCCACCCCGTGCCAAAGGAAAAGCCAGGGAAGCAAACCTATGGGGTTCTCGAACTAAAGCTTTAATAAGAGCACAACAGGGAGAAGGAAGGGACGAGGCTGACCAGCCTCGCAGGGCTGTCTGTGGCAAAGTTTGGGCGGGATGAACTGATGCTCGGTGGGTAGATTGGGGCGGATGGGCAGGTCAGCAACCCAGAGCCAGCCAGCAGCAGCACCAGCAGCAGCAGGTAGTAGCTAGCGTTGACGTCGACGCCCACGACGGGGGCGACCAGCCGGGGCCACCTGGGAGATGGTGGCGAATTGGAACAGTTCGCTGAGCAGCGTGTTATTGTAGACAGTCACGTCCAGCAGCTCCGGGGTGATGAGCCTCTGTGCGCCTCGGCGTTGGGCCTCATTGCCTGCCAGCTCCAGCAGCCTGCGGGTCAGGAACTCCAGGATGGCAGTCAGCAAGATGGGCACCGTTTCGCTCAGCCGCCGGGCATGGCCGCCCTCCCGAAGACGGTGTTCCACCAGGCTCACAGAGAAGGTCAGCTCGGCTCTGGAGGTGCGGGAGCGGCGAGACGACGACGACCCTCGACGGCTGCCCTGTCTGGTCCTGGGCATGCTGGCCTCGGAGTGCGACCTCACAGGCTGGTTCTGCTCCACCTGGCGGCTCTCTGCTGGCCTGCTGGGCTCTGGGCCTCCAGGCTGATCCCAAGGGCCCCTCTGCGTCTGGCTGCGTATCCTAGCGACCCCTCACGGTCGAAATCCTCTCTTCTGTGCTCCCACTCCAGCTCCCACTGATGACGTGTGGTGTGTGATGGCTCCCAGCCCGCCCTCGCTAGGGGCGCTGTCGCCACCTGGACACCTTGGGCTGCTCAAGGAGCCTTCTAGGAAAGACAAAGACGTGAGGGGGAGCAACTCAGTGGTGCCATTGAGAACCAAGCCCTTCACAACCCTCGGCTTCTAAGGTACTTTCACCGTGTCTACCCATTAAGCGTGAGCTCTTTGTCCCTACCTTCCCCACCACCACCCACCACCCACCCCACGCCCCACCCAGGATCCCAGTCACCACTGTAAACCTGAGGGGTTTTCCCTTTTTCCTTCCGGAGACTTAAACTCAGAGCTCCAAGCATCCCGAGCAAATCCAGAGCTGCAGGCTTTCCTGGTCCCTGGGGCCCCTTAGCCGCTACTCTGCTTTCTGCCACGTCAGCTCATCTCCGAGTTGGACAGCTCTTGTAGGTGGAATCATTCGGCAAACCGTCCTCTTGAGTGTACCTGTGTCTGTCCGTTTCACTTAGCATCCTGGATTCATGATGTTTCACCCACAGTACACAGTTCCTTGTGTCTCACCTCGCCTATGTAGCGGCTTGAACCAGTGCTCCTCCATTCCTTTCCACACCCGAATAATAGTCCACTGTATGCTAACAAGTCTTTGGAGAATATTATTTTAAGCTGTGTTACTCTTGTTTGTGTAGCATGAATCTTAAAGAGTCTTGTTAATAAAACCAACCCAGGGCCAGGTATTGGGGTGAATGCTGGAAGATCAGAGAAGCAGAACAAGCCACAGCCACCTCACCTTGCCAGTTCCTCAGCTGATCCCGTTTCCTCAGACTGGAAGGCTCTGAGTCCTCATCCAAATGAATCTCAGCCGAACTGCTGCTCAAAAGCCTAAAGCTTAACCAGCCAAATGCTTCTAGTTTCTGGTCTCCACACCTTATATATCTTTCTGCTTTCTGCCATCACTTCCTGGGATTAAAGGCGCGAGTCACCATGCCTGGCTATTTCCAGTGTGGCCTTGAACTCACAGAGATCCATGCCTCCAGAAGGCTAGGATTAAAGGTGTGAGTGCCACCATTTTCTAGCCTCTGTATCTAGTGGCTGTCCTGTTCTCTGACCCCAGATAAGCTTATTAGGGTCACACAATATTTTGGAGAACACAATACCACCACATTCCCCCCCCCTTTTTCTGTCTAAAATTTAAAAAAGCTTATAACTAATGCAAGAAAAAAACTATATCCAATAAGTATATACAATATATACAGTCAAGAATTACATTAACGATGTCTAGTCCATTAACATTTGAAAGATTCAGACGAATAACTCCATTAATATATAACAACGTCCAGTCCATTTGCATTTGATAAACTCAGACAAAAAATTCACTACTTATCCTATTTAAAACAAGTAGTTCCTTTTTAAAAGTAGATTTAATAATTGACCTTTTTATCTTATCATATCCATATTCTCTTTTTTCTTTTCATAATAGATTCAATAGTCTACCTTTTGTCATTTACATATCTTCCCCTTTTTCTTTTTAGAGTAGATTCAATGATCTACCCATTTATCCTATGATTTCTTTATCTTTTTTCTCAGAGTAGATTCAATAATCTACCTCATATCTATATTCTCTTTTTTCTTTTTCTTTTTCTTTTTTAAACGAAAACTCTGGATCTAATCTCCTTGTTCAGCTTTCTTCCTGGCCAATAACAATTAACAACTTGTAACCAACCGTCATAAACAATGACAATATCCCTAACTTACTAAACAACCAAAAAACACCCACCCCACTTCTTGGGAATGTGGGTGTTGTGTTCTTGAAATTACTTCCTGCTTTCTGGGGGTGAAGACATCTTTAGGGAATCCTAAAGAGAAAATTTTGGGGCTAATTGTCAAGTCCTGATAAAGTTAGTTGTATCATTTGTCCAATCTCTGCATAATGGGAAAGTGCAGGGCTTGTCTCAAGTCCTTGCTCGAGTTGTCTATGAATCTGGATCATCTCAGCTAGCCATCTTGAAAATGTTCTGAGCAGTTTGTAGTCCAAAGTCAATCTTTTGGTGGTGTTAATCAGCTTAATGCCTTTATCATAGTCCATGTGGAATCGTCATTGTGGGCTCCTGTCATCTTTTTGAAGAATTCAAAGTTGCTGTTAAGCGTGGTCATGGTTCCTGTAGATTTTTATTTTTTATTTTTATTTTTCGTGCCTCCTCTGTGGTTTGGAGCAATCACAGTCTGATAAATATCTGTCTCTCGGAACCATGAATGTTCTTCCCTAGAAGAGAAAATCTTCACAGCAATTTCTCCCCACCATTTGTCTCGCCAAACGTTTCCAAACTGACCTTTGCCGATGCTTTCTTGTAACACGATGGTCCTGGCAATTCTTCTCGGAACAAGCAGCAGTAAACCCTTCGTCCCAGGTAGCAGCATCACCGCAGTCACCAACATGATGAGAAGCAGCTTGTAGCTCAGAGCAGAAGCCACCACCTCGGTGGTCCTGCCTCCACTGTTTTTGGTTTGGGCCAGGCCACAGCTTCTCCTTAGCAAGCCTCCCAGGCTGGCCTCAAACTCGGGATCCTCCTGCCTCTGGCTCCTTCAATAAATCCAACCAGTGTGCCACCACAACCAGCCGAGGGTAGCTCGGGCCTGAGCTGGGGCCCACAAGGCCACAGGCAAGCGGCTTTTTTGTGAATTTGTACCACGAACGTTGGGCGCCAGATGTAGCAGGAATCTTACAAGGTCTTATTAATTAACTCAAACCTAAGGCCAGTTATTGTGGTGAATGCTGGAAGATCAGAGAAGCAGAACAAGCCACAGCTACCTCATGTTTGTGTTTCATTTGTTTAACTCTGTGAAGCTGTTACTGTGCCTGTCTAAAACACTTGATGGTCTAATAAAGAGCTGAACGGCCAATGGCGAGGCAGGAGAAAGGATAGGCAGGGCTGGCAGGCAGACAGAATAACTAGAATGAGAGATCTAGAAGAAAAGAGGAAGTCACCAGAGAAGGAGGAGGATCCAGGGGCCAGTCACCCAGCCACACAACCAGCTATGGAGTAAGAAACAAAGAAAAGTTGGGGTATTGTGCTTATTTATGCAGCTCATTTAAAATGCAGTGTATGAATAAGAAATGAGGTTGGTGGTTAATCTATAATGATCAAACTTGTAGTCACATTAGTTATGTTTTCAAGGTTAAATAGGTATATTTTAGAAGAAGTGGTCTTCAAACACTTCAAAGACCTATGGAATATGGCATTTAAAATGTTTTGTTAACTTAAGGTGTTTCATGACAATGAGACACATCTGCTCCTGGCAGCACCAATTTCCTTCAGAGATGATGGGCATCAAAGACACTCCTTATGGAGTTTGCTTTCACTCTGGCAAGGTTAGCCACTGGGCAAATAATCTGCTCTTGCCTTTGACTGCTGACAGTGTGCTGTGCAGACTGGACTGTAGCTGGAGTTTTCTCCAGTCCTGCCCAGCACCATGGGCCCTGCAACCACTTATAAAATAATCACTCAGAAACTTATATTAATTAAACTGCTGGGCCATTAGCTCAGGCCTACCACTGACTAGCTCTCACACTTAACTCAGCCCATCTCTGTTCATCTATATGTCGCCACGTGTTCCGTGCCTTTACATGATGCTCCCTGGACGGCAGGCTGGCGTCTCCCCCAGCTTCCACCTCCCAGCCTCTCTTGTCTGTTTGTCCCGCCTATCCTATACTTCCTGCCTGGCTACTGGCCAATCATTGTTTTGTTTATCAATCAATCATAGCAACATATATTCACAACATACAGGACATCCCACAGCACTGGACATGCAGGACACACGGTGACCGCTGAAGTTTGCCAAAATGAGGCAGAACAGTCCTCCAAAATTCCTGTTTCACAGAAGAGTCTGTCAGATATTCTGCAGGACACAGAGAAAAGCGACTGATGAACTTTGCCAAAACAAGGCAGGACAGTCCCTCAAATTTCCCGCTTCACTGAAAAGCCTTCCAGATACTCTAGGCCTGTAGGCTGAAGATGGATGCCCCAACATTGCAGAAGAACTGTGCGTGACTGTCCAGGCAGCTAAATGTTTCTGTTGTTAGGCAATATTATTAAAGGCTAAATAACTAGAGTTTTGCAAATTGACTGAATCTTGTAAATTCTTACTTGATAACTGTTTTTGTTGTGTATAGTTTTACAATGTTAAAGTTAAAGCCTTTCTTGTTTAGACAAAAGGGAGGAAATGTTACAGAATATTATTTTAAGGTGTGTTACTCTTGTTCATGATGCATTTGTTTAACTCTGTGAATCTGTGAAATATACAGGAATAGAAGAGGAGAAGCTCAGAGGCAAAAGAGAGTCAGGATAATTTTAAATTAAGAAAAGCTGGCTAGAAACATGTCAAGTTAGGGCTTGACATTTACAATTAAGAAAAAGCCTCTGTGTGTGATTTATTTGGGAGCAGGGTGGTGGTCCCTACAAAAGAGTAAAAAACAGCTGGCAACATTTTGGTCATTTTACTTATTCTCTCATCTGCTGATTGGTCACTTGAGTGACCTCCACCTTGAAAAGAACAGGAAGACTTCCCAGTCTTCTTAAGTGAAAAGAGAGCTTGATATCTACCAAGTTGTCAAAAGAATATTATTATTATTATTATTATTATTATTTTGTTTTTTTTTCAAAACAAGTTTTCTCTGTGTAGGTTTTGATGCCTGTCCTGGATCTTTCTCTGTAGACCTGGCTGGTCTCAAATTCACAGAGACCCACCTGGCTCTGCCTCCCAAGTGCTGGAATTAAAGGGGTGCACCACTGTTGCCTTTTAAAAAGTATTTCATTAGGAAAAGAAAGTGAGAGTGGAGGTGTCCAGTAGGGGATAAGCATAAGAAAGTATGGACACCTGGTCAGGCCCTTCAGAGAAACCTGTGAACTTGGAGAATGGGAGGAAAGGAAAATGTAGCAAAGAAAACTTTCACAAAGCTGGAGAAATGGGGTGGATGTCTGGATATTTGAACATTGAGAAGGGGAAGGTGCTGGCCCATTTGGGAGAGACAGAAGGCATATATTTTAGAATGTCAACATTGCAGACCCTTAAAAGATGGATTAGAGAAGAGTGACCTCTGATAAAAGTGTAGTAGCACTGGCAAGGAATGATGATTGTCTAATGTAGGGTGGTACCAGTGGCAGTGTAAGACAGCTGGAAGTAGTACTGCAGAAGGAAGAGTCACAGAGCCCACTGATGATAACTGATGGGGAGGATGAGGAATGCAATCCTCTACATAATAGCAAAGGCCTTACATGTTTTCCCCCATAAAGAGATTAGAAGGTGTATGTTTATGCTCTCTCTCTCTCTCTCTCTCCTCTCTCTCTCTCTCTCTCTCTCTCTCTCTCTCTCTCTCTCTCTCTCTCTCTCTCTCTCTCTCTCACACACACACACACACACACACACACACACACACACACTCACACACACACAAACTCACAATGAAGGTAGAAGTGGTATGATGTGAGAGAAGGAAACTGTGATTGCTGTTGTCAATTTTACAGAAGTTAGAATTATCTGGGAGATGTGCCTCTGGGCATTCCTCCATGTGTGGGTGGTTTTCTAGATTATATTAGCTGAGGTCAGCATACTTCCCCACTGTGGGTGACACCATTCCCTAGGTAGCTGAGTCTGGACTGTATAAGAGTGGAGACTGGTAACTTAGCACTAGCATTACCTGAAGGGTGATTTTTTTTAAAACAAACAGAAAAACGTCATCATTAACAAGAACAACAAAACTGATGCCATTCATTCAAGTAAGCTGCTTCTCTGAAACTTACAAGCAAATACTTGAGGCTAATTTTCCCTTAATTTGTATCTTTTAGGGCATCTTAGGAGAAATTCCACAAGGTAAAAGAATTACCTGAGAGATTCTCATAGCAGAGATGAGTATCTCACATTTCTGAACTTAATCCCATCAGGGGGAGAGAGAGAAAAGAAAGTAAGCAAATGTTTCCAATGTCAGCCAGGTAAAGGGTAAGCCTAGAAGAATTTGATACTCAAAGCAGTGCTTCTGAGCCTCCTGTTGCTTTCCTCAGGCATGTTGTGAGACCCAGGCCCCAATGCTGGGAAATCAGGAGGGTGATGGGACACTGGGAGTTTGAAGAGGTTGAGAGGAGCCACAGGCAAATATACTTTAGTCACTTAAAGAGCAAAGGCTGCTAAGCAGGCAGCCAATGGCAGGCATCCATTCATGCAGGCACATGCCATTATATATGGGAACTACACATGTGGTTGGTCCATGGGCCACATGGTGATAGGGATGGAGGTCTACCAACAAACACACAGGCAGGCTGGCAAAGGTGAAGGTGAAGGCCTCTGATCCCAAGGCCACCTTTATATAGAATCCATACCAAAAATGATATTTTGAATAAAAACAGGAGATCCTGGAAGAAGCTAAATATCACTCAGACAGCTGCCGGGTGGTGGTGGAACACACCTTTTAATCCCAGCACTCGGGAGGCAGAGGCAGGCAAATCTCTGAGTTTGAGGCCAGCCTGGTCTACAGAGTGAGTTCCAGGACAGCCAGGACCACACAGAGAAACCATGTCTCAGAAGCAAACAAAAAGTGTACAGACAAGCCATTTAGTCAATGATCTGATGCCTGGCAGCCCATCACACAGATCTCCCAAGATGAAGTATCCATTGATTGGAATGCTATAACACCTAGCAGGACCCGAGTGTTCAGCTACTTGCTCCTGATGTCATGCATGCCATCTGCTGCCATTCTGTTCCTAACATTATGTATTCTAACCCACTGGAGCTATAAGTCCAAATAAACTCTTTCTTCTATTAATTGCCTTGGTCATGTTTTATCACAGCAACAGAAAATTAACAGATTCAGTGAAATACCCATCAAAATTCTCATAACATTCTTTATAGAAGTAGAAGAAAAAGTAAGCCTAAAATTTGCATTGATGCACAAATATGCTGAATAGTCAAAGCAATCCTAAGAAAAAAAAACGAATACCTGATTTTAAATTGCAAGATAATGTCATAGTTACCAAAATAGCATGGTACTGGCTCCTAAACAGATACACAAATCAATGTAATTGAATAGAAGATCGTAGAAATAAATGCATACAGGTAGACCCTCATAATTTGTGGCAGAGGTGTTGTGGTGGTTTAGATGAAAATGTGCCCTGTCTTAGTCACTGTTACAGTGCTGTGAAGAGACACCATGACCAAGGCAATGACCAAAGAAACTCTTATAAAAGAGTTTCATTCAATTGGGGTGGGGGAGGGAGCTGCTTACCTTACAGTTTCAGAGGGTTAGTCCATTATCATCATGGTGGGAAGCAGACAGGCATGGTGCTGGAACAGTAACTGAGAGCTTTATATACTTTTCTGCAGGCAGCAGCCAGAGAGAGAGAGACAGAGACAGAGAGACAGAGATTTAGAGAGACAGAGAGACTGAACCTGGCTGGCTGGCATGGGCTTTGGAAACCTCAAAGCATACCCCTGGTGACACATCTCCTGCAACAAGCACATACCTCGTAATCTTTCCCAAACAATTCCACTAACTGGGGACCAAGCCTTTAAACATGTGCACTTATGGTGACCATTTTCAGTCAAACCACCACATTCTACTCCCTGGCCTCCATGGGCTTTAACTATATCATAATGCAAAATGCATTCAGTCCAACTCCCAAAATTTCCATAACTTTTGTTAGAACCACCCACATTCCTGAACCAGGTGCTCCCTCATCCCCCACCACACCTTCAATTGTCACCATCACTAAAGGCCAATGCGACACATTTACACATCACCAGTGCCATGTATTTTCCCTATGTGCATGCTCCATACCCCACCCCCATAAAAGCCCAAGCTATCATGACCTGCTCTCTCTCTCTCCTCTCTCTCTCTCTCTCTCTCTCTCTCTCCTCTCTCTTCTCTCCTCTCTCCTCTCTCTCCTCTCTCTCTCTCCTCTCTCCTCTCCCCTCTCTCTCCTCTCTCTCTCTCCTTCTCTCTCTCTCCTCTCACCTCTCCCCTCTCTCTCCTCTCTCTCCTCTCTCTCTCTCCTCTCTCCTCTCTCCTCCCTCCCCCCCCCCCCCCCTCTCTCTCTCTCTCATTAATCAGAGGTGGCCTTTCATGTCCCACCCCCCCTCCCCAATAATTCTCTTGTGTGAGGTCTGTTGTGTGGAGTGATATTCTCACTGATCAAGAATAAGACCACTACCACAGTTAAAAGCCAAATTTGAAGCAAGCTTTAATTAAATACTGACCAGGTGGATGGACTCAGGCCAGGTCCATACCCAGGTTCCCAGGAAATGACCCTAAATCACCGTTTGCAGCAGCTTAAGAAGGAAAACCCATAATTCATTGCATTTCCCATCAAGTCCAATCAGGGACAAGCATACATCCTGATGTACCTCCAGCTACATCCAGTCAGGGGCAAGCATATCTTGATGTACTTCCTGCTTGTGAACCTCACTCCCTCTGCTCCCTCATGGCTCCTCAGCTCCTTCCTGGAACTTCCTCACCTCCCCCTAGGAGCTCCTGAATGCTCCAGGATCTGCGACCCTTTCCTTGCCCCTTTCTCCTCAGAGCTACTTGTTCTATCTCTCCTAGGGCCCTCTGGGGTCTGTACATTGCAAGTTTCCTTGCTTCCCCCAAGAAGCTGCCTGCGAAGTCCCACAGCTTCTCTATGCCCTCATGGCTTTCTGCCATATGGGAACCCTCCTTCAGGTGGAGTTCCTGCTTGTTCCTCCTTGTCCCCTATGGCTACCACTGCTCCTGTCTCTTAGCTGCCAAACCCTCCCTATGGAGGTTTTTGTTTTTTGTTTTTTGTTTTTGTTTTGTTTGTTTGTTTGTTTGACGCTTCCTCTTTTTTTCCTTGGACTCAAGTCCTTTCTCAGACTCAAAGGTTTTCTTCAAGCCTTGCTGTCTTACTGGAAATGGCTTGGCTTCAGTATATCTGGATAGCCAAAGATGGCACACTCTAGTTCCAAATTCTCACAGATTGTAACAACTTCTGCCATGGCACAAGCAAATGATCCCAAAGTCTCTTATCTCTAAGGTTTTATAACTTTCCACTCTTAAATATTTTATCTCTATGATTTCTCTGTGCTCTACTCTCAAGAAATCTTTTAAGACTGTTGTTTAAACAGTCTTTATCTCAGGATTGATTTGTAAGTTCATTGGGTGTGGTTAAAGAATCTGTAAATCTGTAACAAAATTTGGCCTAAAACTTATAGCAAAAGGCTTATCATTAAAACCTATACATAGGAATTTTTACTTTCTACAACATTCTATATATGTGATTCAACTCTTATCTAGAATATAGATATTGAATATCTATATATATTCAACTCTTGTTTAGGAAAGCAGATGTTTTAAATAGCAACCATGTAGCTCTCCTCCATCTTACCTGACGACCTTCAAGATATAAGTAGCTACATGACTGGCAGCCATCTTTACTAAGATTAAAGGGTACATGCCATGTGACCTCACCATCTTAAGATGACCACGTGGCATAAAGCAACAACTATAAAACTTCTCAGTCCTATTGAGCCCTTAGTTTATCTCTTTTTAGACTAAGGAAGCAACAACAAGTCTCAAATATATTTGGATTACTATGGATTTTTGTATGATGATAAATATTTAAGGTTCTATTTACTACAGCATAATATATATATATATATATATACATATATATATATATATATGATTCAATTCTGGTTTAGAATATACTGTATATGATGATGAAATATTACAGGGAGAAAGTTCTACTCAGGTTAACAAAAGCTAATTAAGATGTATGTATAACTACTGTGTCTTTGCTAATTGTTCAACACCAAGCTTCTAGAAAATCTAGATAAGTAATAACGTTTGATAAATAAGATATATTTGATAAATAATATTTGTTTGATAAATAAGGTATATTTGGTAACTAAGATTTATACGTTTCTAAGGTCTACTCAGGTTCACAATAATAGTTGTCTAGCTTCCTTGCCTTTGCTCACTTTAAGTTTTAGCTATTTGGATAAAGTAAGCCATACAAAAACCTGCAATATCCTATAATGGCAAACTATAAAAGGACCAGTAAATTTACCAGTCTCCCTATGAACTGTATCTATTATTATAAGTTTTATTTTCATACTAAAAGAGCTTCAATTCAGAACTTGATATTTTTAAGGCTCAACCTTAAAGGGATAAAGCTATAAAATCCTAATCTTATAAAAGCCACTAAATTATTATAAACTGTTAAAGATAATTAAGGCAAGTAAGTTAATAGTCATATTATAAATAATCAAATTCTTTAATGTGTTCAGAACTATACTTGTAGTCATGCTCAGTACTAATGTAATTAATTATAGGAACAAGCTTTATTTAGCCTCCTGTATATGTTTTCAAAGTTAAGCCTAAAGCAAGTAACCAAATCAGGTATTCTTAATAGATAGATGGTCCTCAAACTCTTCAGAGGTCTTCTGAATACGGCATTTAATGTTTCATAGGGAAAAAAAAAGGCTTTTTGAGATAGAGAGAAGTGCCATCTCCTGGCAGCACCCCTAATCTCCTCCAGAGATGGCCACAGAAGAACCTCCACGTGGAGCTTGCTTTAAATGTGGCAAAGCTAGCCACTGGACAGAAAAACTGCCCTTCACCTCAACTGCTGCCAAGACCCTGTCAAAACTCTCGACAAGCAAGACACTGGGGAGTTGATTGCTCCGCTTTGCTTAGACAAGTTAGGCCAGTTGTCCCAAGCTCCTCCTAACACAGGAAAGTCTGTCAGATCTTCTGGGCCTGGTAGCCAAAGACTTATGCTGCCCTGGGACTTCTGACCCCAACAACGGTGGAGGAGCCTAGGGTGATTGTCCAGGTACCTGGTAAGTGTTGGTTATTTTTTTTAAAAAAACAGATTCAGAAGCTGTTTGGTTTGTACTTCCTGTTTACTTGGGTGAAATACATCCTTCTCAGATCTCTGGTGGTGTTGATGACTAGGCTAGTGATAGCTTTGTCAGTTTAACAGCAGCAACCAAGGTTTCAGCTGCCTCCTCAGTTCTCTTCATCTGTAAAAACCAGGCCACAGGCCTCACTTTCCTAGAGCTACTACTAGGCCTAGACACAGTTTACCTTCCTACCAGACTCCAAAAAAAGATAAACTCACAAAACAGATTTCAATGTAACTTTTTACTATTCTTTATTTAAAGGAACTCACTTTACAATGACTGCTGCCAGGAATCAACCACCTGTGTCTCATAGTAAATAACTGGATTTTAAAAAGTGATTTAAGGTATGTAAAAAATGAAAAAAAATGCTTCAGATTTCTTTCCCTCACTATACTATTGTTATACTAAGACTTCAAAAATTCAAAGTTTTGACATTAACCAATAGAGTTCTAATAAGCTACTAATCTAACCCTGGTGAGCAGTGAACTATTACTATCATAGTCACAAGCTCAAGATTTTAAATTTCCTTTAGTTGTCTTCTAACTATAGATGTAAAAGTGCTCCTCATTGTGCTAAAAGTGTCTATCTAATCTATATATACCCAGTCTTCTGGATAGAGGAAAGAGTGTTCATGCTTTTAACCCAGAATTATTTTGGGGGTTCCCAACCTTTTACTATGAATCAAAGGCATGATGAGTCTACTGTTTTTTCTATAATGTGGATTTCAATACAGACTACAAACAGAGGTAATGCTAATATATCTAAAGCCTATCTCTTTTTATAAACTTAAAAAAATCTTGTAAGCTTCAGGGAATCGACTTGGATCCACCTCTCACAGGTTAAATGGACTCCAGATAAGTGCTATCAATCAACAGCCTATCTCCCCACCTACTGCCTGTTCCTGGGGGTGGGATCTCTTTCCCTTTCCCTGCTCTTGGGACTCTCCTCCCCCAACTACCAGGTCCATGGGCCTAAAAGTTCCAAATGTACACCTAAGGAAAAAAAATTCCCCCCTAAACTCCTTAACTTTACCTTCTGACCCTAAAATACATACATACATACATACATACATACATACATACATACACACACACACACACTATATATATATATATATATATATATATATATATATATATATATATATTCCAGCAAATTTCTAATCAATAAGAGACTGCAAACTGTTCCAACTGCTGCCTGCATGTTCCTAGCCCCAGCTGAGTAGAGCCTGGACAGTGAGTGAAAACAGTCTGCTCTTCCCAGACTTGGCCAACGTTCCAGCTCTTTGGGTCCCCAACAATGATGCCCCATTGTCAGAATGAAGTAGTCATAGATGAAAACATTACCCTTTATCATTCACTTACTATGAACAAAAAGGCTGGGATGTTAAGTTTCAAGCCCAGGACAAATGGCCGAGGTACCTATGTAATATATTAAACCGGACCTGGCCTCCAGGTTCCCCCAGCACCCTTCAGTCCTGACCTGTTACAGGGTATGGCTTGCATACCCTGCCTTCTACCCTGAAGTCTCTAGCCCAGGGGCTGGGTTGCCCATCTCCCAGAGACTATTACTTATATAATCCAGACATTTTGGTTACCCTTCCCTTTTGTACCTTTGGCCACCTGGATGCTGCACCTGGTTAACCTCTCTCTTCCCTCTCCTTTCCCCTCCCCCTCTCACCACATGGCCCAGCTCAGCCTGGTCATGTCCACTCTGGACTCTCTCACATGTCCCTGTCCCAGTCTCTACCTTCACTCTCCCTTTTTATCTACAGTAAACTTTCTCCTCCACCATACCTAGGAGCAGTCATGTCCTTTCCTTTCCTTTTTATTTCCCTTTTTCATTCAGAGGGGACTAGCAGAATTGAACATCCCTGTAAACTACTATCATTCTTTATCCCAAGACACACATAAAAGCCTTGATGAATTCTTTCAAAGTCTGATAAAAATCCAAGATTCAATAGACTCATTAGCATCAGTCAAATTCCAAAATAGGAGAAGCCTAAATTCTCAGACAGCAGAAGAAAAGGGGGAGGGGATTTTTCTCCCTCCCTCACTTTTGGAAGATAAATGTGGTTTCTATGAAAATCAGTGCAATCTGGTCAAAGACACAGCAAAGAAACCATTTGACTATGCCTCAAGAATCAGACAACAGGCATCAGAGTCAGGACAGATGGTTTCAAAGTTCCTTATACATGATCTCCTTGATCATATCTGTTGTCACTTCATTAACTATTTTGATTCTTACATCTTAGACGCTTTTCTAATCTGCCTGTTAACTTGATTCAACCAGACCACTGCCCAGCATGCCACACAGACCCAGGTGGATCACACCTTCTTCATATGTGAATACAAATACCAGCTCATGACTCAAGGATCATCAACTGACAAATTTACAGGAGATGAAGAAGGAAGGGGGCTTGAAAATGCCACAATTCTGGAGGAAGTAGTCAGAACTGAAGTAGATGTCATAAATACTTTGGGCCCCACACCTCCCTCTAACAATAAGGCAATTTCTTTTATACAAGCAAAAAAAAAAAAAAAAAAAAAAAAAGATGCGTACATGCCAGATCCCAGATGCCACTGTTGCATAAGTAAGTTAGCCATACCCTGTAAGCAGACATTTCCTGTCCTGACCTCCCAGTCCCAAATAACCACTCAGCTGTTGCTTCCCAAATAATTAACTCTGAGGCTTAATATTACTTATAAATATTTGGCCAGTAGCTCAGGCTTTTTTACTAACTAGCACTTACACTTAAATTAACCCATAATTCTTATCTATGTTTAGCCACATGGCTTGGTACCTGTTCTCGGTAGGGTATTCTCAACTTGCTTCCTCTGTGTCAGGCTGGCGACTCTCTGACTCCGCCCTTCCACTTCTCTGCATTCTTAGTTTGGTTGCCCCACCTACACTTCCTGCCTGGCTACTGGCCAATTAGTGTTTTATTAAACCAATTTGAGTGACAAATCTTTATAGTATACAAGAGCATTATTCTGCAGCTTTTTCCCACACCAGGTATTGGAGATAAGCTCTCAGATATGGCAAGACAACAAGATCAGCTTCCTGCTACCCAGGATCAAGGTAATCTGATTAATGGCTTTGTATCCTATCTACTACCTTTGCTACACTCCTAACATGTAGCAGCCTCAATTATGCCTAGTCAGACACTCCACTACTTTAAAAGTATATAAAGGTAAGGAATTGCCTTTGTCCTAAAGGTTATTGTTGGATCTTTTAGCCAAGCCTCTCCTACCATTGGTGGCATCTGTAGTTAATGGATATTTCACCTGAACAGAAAAGAAAAAAATAATAAATGACAGTATATGATGGTGAAGATGTGGGGAAAGAGGAACCTATATACATTACTGGTCACAATTTGAACTGGTATAGCCACTATAAAAATTGGTCCAGAGGGTTTTATTCTTTTAATTACAAGCATAGTGATGGGTCCTATCACAGGACCCAGCTACACCACACCTGTAAATATACCTAAAGGACTCTAAGTCCTACCACCACAGACACACTTGCATATAAATGTTTATTTAGTTAGCCATAAGGAAAAATGAAATTGTGACATTTTCAGAAATAATGGATTGAGCTGGAAGTCATTATGTTACACAAAATAAGTCAGATTCAGAAAGACAAAAACCACTTGTGTTTTTTTATATGCAAAACCTGTATTTACTTGCATGTGTGTGTTTGTGTGTGTGTGTGTGTGTGTGTGTGTGTGTGTGTGTGTGTGCACATGTACACACGTATAGGTTGTGAAACTAGAAAGGGGACCATTTGACGTAAAAGAAAAGTCTTAGGGGAAGGGAGAGGTAGTGGAATACAAGTGATATGAAAGACAATAAAGACTATTGGGGAGAAAGAAGGGGAACAGCTTGACGGGGACAGGGAGTGATGAAGAGCAGTGCGGAAGGAGAGATGAATAAGAACAAAGGATGTATGAAAATGCTTTAATGAAACCAATTACTTAATATGGGATCTATCTTAGTCAATGTTTAATTACTGTGAAGAGACACCATGACCATGGCAACTCTTATAAGAGAAAGCACTTAATTAGGGACTGGCTTACAGTTTCAAAGGTTTAGTCCATTATCATCATGGCAGGAAGCATGGTGCTGCCAAAGTAGCTGAGAGTCCTACATCTAGATCCGCAGGCAAGCAGGAAGAGAAAGACATTGGCCTGGCCTGAGCATTTGAAACATCAAAGCCCACCACCAGTGACACACTTCCTCCAATAAGGCCACACCTACTCCAATAAAGACATACCTCCTAATTCTTTCAAATAGTGCCACTCCCCAGTGACCAAGCATTCAAATCTATGAGCCTATGGGGGCCATTCTCATTCAAACCACCACACTATCTTATTTTCTTTTACAAAGAGTCATCACACTATACCCCCAAACCTTCAGAATCCAATCTCTGTATTTCTTGAAATGCACAAAGACAAACACGCCAATAGCACATGGGGAAAAAAAATACGGAAGTTGACTGAATAATGCCAGGGACTCCTGGCTATTATGAATAATGTAGCATTTCCTATTAGCAGGTAGTTAAAAACAACAACAACAGGAGGACTTTTGAAAAATAAGCTAAACATGGGCTGGGGACATGGGCAAAGTGCTTGCTTCAGAAACATGAAGACTTGAGTTCAGATACCCAAACTCATGCAAAGCTGTGCATGGTAGCAGGCATCCACAATCATATCACTCCTGTTTTAAGATGGAACATGGAGAAAGGAGAATTCCCAGAAACTCACAGGCCATCTAGCCCAACATATGCAGAAGTGAACAACAAAGAGATCTTCTTAAATAATGTGGAAGGCAAGGATGTCCTCTGACCACATGTGGGCAAAAGGCAATTGGGTCTCTACAAGACACCGAGCACACCATCAAGTGTAGATTAGCAAAGAATTGAAAATCCAAAATAAGAGCTGAAAACATTAATTAGAAGATAGGTTTTTATGACTTTATTATGCATTACTGAGGCTTGCTATGCTTTATTAGACAAAGCAGAATAGCCATAAAGACAAATGTAAAAAGCACTTCTTCCAATTTGAGAGACACACAACTTCTTTGTTGTTGTTGTTGTTGTTGTTGTTAATATTGTTTAATTTAAAGCATTTTCCAAGTATCCTGCTTGATTTGAGGGATCCAATGTGGAGTATAAATAAAATAACAAATCAGAAGAATTCTGAGTTAGAAATAGTGGGAGTGGGTGTCCAAATTAAATACATTAATCAGAAGCTAATTTTTAGGGTGCTGACTTTTAAGCTGAATGTAACGAATAGGAAAGTACCAGCTTTGTTAGATAATCGTATAAGATGTATCCTTTCAATAACCCTGAGCATTAAATTCTATTGTTTTCTTAATTTTGCAGAAAAAGTAACAGAGACTTATAAAAGGCTTACATGCACAAGCATAAGAACTAGAGTGCAGGCAAACTTGGACTGGGACTCAAATATAGAAGACCCCCAAACATAATGGGGTTGGAAAACACGCCCTTTAGTGTTTTGGGCTTCCTCTAATACTGTATTCCTAGAACTTACATTGATAAATACAGCCTCAAGGGAGTGGATATTTGAGGCCAGAAAAGAAGGATCTCTCCTTATGGACAAATGAATCAATTGCTAATTTCAAGATTATTATTAAGGAAGGTGTTAAATACTGTGAATCAGAAACATACCAAGTAAATATGGAGCTAATTATTATTTTCATTTGGACATGCCTTCACATGATGCAGGATAATAATTTCTCCACTTCAGTAATGCTGATGGTTAAGAAGCTTAAAGTCAAACCTACTTTGGTACGTAGGAAAAATAGATTTTTTTAAATAATAAAATATAATAAGATAAAACAAAAACTGACACATCAGGATTGGACAAAACAAACAGAAGGAAAAGAGCCCAAGAGGCGGCCACAAGAATCAGAGACCCATTTGTCCGCACACTCAAGGATCTCATAAAAACACCAAACTGGAAGCCATAATATATACACAGAAGACCTGTTGCAGACTCTTGCAGACCCTGTGTATGCTGCCTCAGTCTCTGTGAGTTCATATGAGCTTTGATCATGTTGATTTAAAGGGCCTTGTTTTCTTGGTGTCCTCTATCCCCTCTGGCTCTTACACTCTTTCTGCCTCCTCCTCCTCAGAGTTCCCTGAGCCCCAAGGGGAGGGATTTGATGGAGACATGCCACTTAGGATTGAGTGTTCCAAGATCTCTCACTCTCTGCACATTGTCTAGCTGTGAGTCTCTGTTATATGTTCTCATCTGCTGCAGGAGGAGGTTTCTCTGATGATGTCTGAGCAAGGAATTGATCTATGAGTGTAGCAGAATGTCATTAGGAGTCAATTTTATTGCTATGATTTTTAATTTTTTAGACCAGTAGTATTTGGTTTTACCCTAGGTCCCTGGGATATCTAGTCTCTGATTCTTGGTCACTCAAGCATTGCCAGGTATCAGTCTTGAGGATATCAAGGTATCAGATATTGTTGGTAACTCCCACAAGCTTTGTGCCACCATTGCCCTAGAGTATCTCACAGGCAGGACAGCATTATAGATCAAAGGGTCTGTGGCTGGCTTAGTGTTTACACTTCTCTTTTGGTAGTGTTCAGAGTACATTCCTGTACCAAGACACTAGAACATAGGAGTGAAGGCTCTATGTAGGCACCAGCTCGACTTCTCCATGTTCAATGAAGTTGTATAGGTGCTGTCTTCAGCAATGGGGACTTGTCATCAGTTTGTGGAGAGCAACCTCTAGTCTTGACAACAGTCTGGGTTGTTTGGGAAATTCCATGGGACCCCTTTAGCCAAAAACACACTTAGATGTAACCCAAACCCGCTACTGGAAGCTTCATTTGGTGACAAGAGATGGCCAGTCGGGGCTCTCCCTCCCACATTATTTTGGTGATTTCATTTAGATTGTCTTCATATATGTATATATATTTAGGAATCTTCTACTGTATTAGGTTTCCATACTACCCCTCAAATGTCCCTTAATTTTAGCTCTCTCTCCCCATATTCCCTCCCACATCCCCCCCACACACACTTGATCCTCCCATTCAGGCCCCCCGGATCCTTCCATAACCATCTATTCTATTTTCCTTTCCTAATGAGGTCTATCTGTCCTCCTCCCCCCACCTCCGGTCCCTTACTTTATACCTAACCTCTGTGATTCTATGGGTTATAGCTTAGTTTTCATCAACTTAACATATAACATTAATCCACATATAACTGAATACATACCATATTTGTCTTTCTGGGTCTGGGATACCTCACGGTGATTTTTTTCTAGCTCCATCAATTTACCCACAAGTTTCATGATTTAATTTTTTAAGAGGCTGAGTGATACTCCATTGTGTAAATGTACCACTCTTTCTTTACCCTTTATTTGGTTGAGGGACACCTAGGTTGTTTCCAATTTCTGGCTATTATGAATAGAGCAGCAACAAACGTGGTTGAGCAAGTGTCTCTGTGGTATGATGAAACATCCTTTGGGTATATGCACAAGAGCGGTATAGCTGGATCTTGAAGCAAAACAATTCCCATCTTCCGGGGAACTGCCACACAGATCTCCACAGTGCAGTGGCTGTACTAGTTTGCACTCTCACTGGCAATGGAGGAGTGTTCCCCTTGCTCCACATACCCTCCAGCATGAGCTGTCACTTGTGGGGTTTTTTTTTTTTTTTAATCTTAGCCATTCTGACAGGTGTAAGATGTAATCTCAGAGTCGTTTTGATTTGCATTTCCCTGATGGCTAAGGATTTTGAACATTTCAAGTGTTTCTCCACCATTTGAGATTCCTCTTTTGAGAATTCTCTGTCTAGATCTGTACCATTGGTTTATTTGTTTTTCTTGATATCAAGTTTCTTTGAGTTCTTTATATATTTTGAATATTAGCCCTCTATTGGATGGCACACAAACTTCTTAAATTGAAGACGGGACAATCCATCCACACTGTGATTTTAATATCAAGGAAGAACAAGTGAGCAGCGACCATAAAAGAATAAACAACTCAATATTATTAGTGGTTGGACAATTGTATAAAAAGACAGTAAAGAACCACCATTCAGCATCTCTTGGACTGACAGCTTTAATATATCCTACTACTTGATGTATTGGCAAGTATATGTAACAAGGGCAATCCCACCTGCTTGCTGCTATAGAATAATTGAGAAATTTCTGAATATTAAGGAATATTTTGCTAGCCTGTGACCCATCGACTCTACTCACTTATGCACTGTAAAACGTTTGTCATATGAGCCAGGTGGTAAGATTATTGATGCTATCATTACCCAGGGGGATGGAACCAGAAAATAAATGGGAATTCTACAAACATGAAACTGAATACTCTGAGGAGTACCAACAGTGATATAGGTTAGTGGAGGGAACATGAGAACAATATCAAACTGTTCAGAGTCTGGTGGGGATACAAGGTTGAACAAATGCAGAGGTGAGGGCACAGAGCAGGTTTTACATAAAAATATTAATGCTGGTGCTGGGGAAGTTAGGGATCAGGGGAGGAAGAGGATGCAGAATGGATGCACCACCATACACAGACTCGGGCAAGTCTGTTTTTTACCTTCCCACAAGTAACCAGTGCCTTCCCTTTCTTTATTAAAAAAAAGCATTTATTTTATGTGTATGTATGTGTGTCTGAGCATATGTATGTGCACCATATGCGTGCAGGAGCTTTCAGAGGTCAGAAGAGGCATGAATCCCCTGGGACTCGAGTTACAGAAGATTGTGAGCTGTCATGTGGGTGGTGGGAACTGAACCCATGTCCTATATAAGAGCTATAAGTGCTCTTAACTACTGGGTCATCTCTCCAACCAAGGGAAGGCACTTTTTAAGACAGGACTAAGGGCAAAGCCATTCCTCTGCTGGGAAGTGTGGATTGAAGGAGAATGTAAGAGAAAGTACTGCCCACTTATCAGTGCTGAAGAAGTTTAGGCCTTGGGCTAGTCTTGTTCTCTCTTGTCCTTGGATCATTTGCCAAGCTGAGACTCTGTGAAGACGTGTTACAGAGAACCTGGTGGGCAACAAGCCTTCAAGGCTACAGCAATAGTTCCAATAACCTTGCCCCTTGCCGGGTTTGAGCAGGCGAGGTTAAGCCAGCTTCATGTGCGTGCACACTGTTCCAGCCAATCAGAGAGGCTCATGCACCAGAAGGCGGGGCCTAACCAACTACCGTCGGTTTTGCTGTGAGGAAAAGGAGGCTCTGAGGAAACTGTGGTGAGCCTGGGTCAACGGAAGTCCCCAACTTTGTGGTAAAGGACCGTATAGTAAAAGCCCCAGCAGTAGCAAAATGAGGCTAAGGTTGATTCAAGGCTGTTGAGGGAGGAGATTGGGGATTGAAAGGAGGTGAGAACCGGGTTAACCTGTGAGGCGATATTCCGGAGTCTCACTTCAACCTGGGACTGGACAAGACCCCTGAGGGTGGCTGAGGAAGGGGATGGACCTGAGGGCTGAAGGTCCCGGGAGGATCTGGCGGGAGGACCTGTGGTATTGTGTTCCCCAAAATATTGTGTACCTTAATAAACTTATCTGGGGTCAGAGAACAGAAAAGCCACAAGATACTTAGGCTAGAAAATGTTAGCACACGCCTTTAATCCTAGCACTCCAGAGACAGAAATCCCTCTGGATCTCTGTGAGTTCAAGGCCGCATTGGAAACAGCCAGGCATGGTGACTCACGCCTTTAATCCCAGGGAGTGGTGGTAGAAAGCAGAAAGGTTTATAAGGCATGATGACCAGAAACTAGAAGCATTTGGCTGGTTAAGCATTTGGCTGGTTAAGCATTCAGGCTTCTAGCAGCAGTTCAGCTGAGAGCCATTGGGATGAGGACACAGAGGCCTCCAGTCTGAGGAAACAGGACCAGCTGAGAAGTTGGCCAGGTGAGGTTAGCTGTGGCTTGTTCTGTCTCTCTGATCTTCCAGTGTTCACCCCAATAACTGGCCTCAGGTTTGATTTTATTAATAAGACTCTCTAAGATTCCTGCTACAAGGACCGGCAGGACAATGTGGAGGGTGTTAGGTGAAGTGAGTACCATTTGTAACCCTTTGCCTCCCACTGGCTTTCACGGATAGTTGGGTGCCCTGAGGTGCACCCTGAGAGTCTATTTGGTGAATGACTAGGACTCTCACCTGAAAGTGCTGCTTAGAGACAGAAACAGTCCGTCCATCTCCATACGTAAGCACGTGGTGAACTAGTCTTTCTGACCAGACACCAACACCGAGTCCTTGATGCTGACAGGGTGAAACGAATGATAAATGGCGCTGGTGGTGGCGCTGGTTACTGGCGAAAAGGTCAGGGTCACGACAGAACCCGGTTGCTTAGTAGCGGAGAGCTTTATTAAGAGGAAGAGGAGGAGGGGTAAGAGGAGGAGGGATAAAAGGACCAGGCCTGGGGAGGAAAGAGAGAGAAAGATGGTGGGGTGGGGGGTGAGAGCGGAGCAGAGCAGAGAGAGGGTAGGACCCACGTGAAGGACTCCCAGTGAAGTGGGCTTAGGGAGGCACACCACTCATGTGCTGATTGCGTGACCACACCTTGGGCAGTCGCTAGCGCACACTGATGACATAAGAAAGACCCTGAACTGCGCGTGTGTAGCTGGAGTAAGGGCAGAATTCTAACACAGGGTGTGGTGGAACCCTGGCTTGTCTCACCTGAGCAGTGGGGAGCAGAGGAGACTAAGTATGGGGATGAGTGGCGGGGTAAACCCCCATTTTACCCTGAACACGGGAAGGATTCGGACTGAGGGTGTGTGTGTGTGTGTGTGTGTGTGTGTGTGTGTGTGTGTGTGTGTGTGTGTGTGTGTGTGATAGGAGGCAGTGCCGGGTTTTTTTCCTGGTCCCTCCTACTCGGGCACAAGTGACAGGACTCCAGGCTGCAGGAAGCTGCCCTTTTTCGCTGGACAGGGGAAGGATGGGGAGAGTGGAAGGGGGGAAGGTGTGCGACAGGAGACACCAGCCATCTTTTTTTTTTTATACCCCTTCCTATACCTCCAGCACATGTGGAAAGGACACCAGGCCCAACTCCGTGCAAACCTGATACCTGTTCTTGTGGCTTTCATTTAACTCTTCCTTGTATCTTTAACGTGTCTTTGCACACATAATGTTCAGGATTCCTGTCTAGCACAGGGAGACTACAGTCATGGCACCTAAGATCAAGGGCAAACCTCCGAAGCAACCTGAAGTGACTCCTGATCTGCCATCTGATGATTTACAGCAGCTATGTGAAAATAACCCACCTGAAAATAACCCAGGTAAAATGGTACAGGGGAGGGCTGAGAATGTAGATCATTTGGTAAAGTGCTTGCCTAACATGCAAGAAGCTCCAGGTTCAGTTCCCAGAATTGCATAAGACCAGATGTGGTGACCCAAGCCTCAGGAGGTAGAATCAAGATGATCAGAAGCTCAGGGTCATTTTCAGCTACATAGCAAGTTCAAGGCCAGACTAGACTACATGAGATCTTGTCACACACACACACACACACACACACACACACACACACACACACACACACACACACACACGTCAGGATGCCTACAAGACAGTTCCTGCCCTGCCCCCAAAGGATAGTCTGATGCATTTAGGTGGAGTACAGGACATTTCTTGGGAATCACGTGACATTTCACACACGAAAACTGTTTTCAAAGTGTGTTTGTGGGCCTTATGATTCCCACTTGGTGTTCCTACCCTATGGTGGAGCTGCAAGGGTCATAGAGCCTCTTGTCCTGGACTGTGCAGTTGCTATACCCAACATGTCTTGTACAAAGGACATGGTTTGTAATGATTTTAACATGGAGGCCTTGTACATAAATGTCCCCAAGGTCTCCTCAATTGTATCTCATCTACACAGACATGATTCAATTTATGTGTGTTCTAAAAAACTTTTGATGCCATACATCCAGAGAACTCCCCTACTGAAGGTATTTCTTCATGTAGGATGATCAAAATGGCATACATAACTTGAAAATTATTATTTTTTTCTATTCAATGTAGGAAACAATCCAGTCCTTGAAACTGGTGGGGAAAATAGTTCTTCCCACAAAACAGGTGGACCAAAGCCAGGTGATGTGTTAAAGGAATTTTTGCTGTTGATAATGTAATTCAGAAAGGTCAACTTCTGGTCTTGTAACACATATTCTATATAAACCTTGAGGCAGAGGACAGACCTACCCACAAGAAACATAGTGTTTTACCTACATTGAATTCAAAGCCAATGAGATATCTTGGCTTCCAAGATAAAAATACAGAAAATGGCGGGGTGGGGGGGGGGGGCGGGCAGGGAATATCCTGGTCTATCTGTAGGAGCCATTAGTAGCTTTAGAAAATTGTTTGAAAGTAAAGTGCTTTGATGCCAGGAAGTATTCATCAGCAGGAAATGGAAGTGTGTTTCATGCCTTTATTCTCATACACTCCACATCACAATGGTGTTTATTAATTCACTTTAGAGATTTTGACTATGGATGTGAAATGAGGAGTATTGTACATAAAAACGGTGGTTTTAGTTTGTTTTATTTTGCTTTTCTTTGCTTTTGATACAGGGTCTCACCATGTAGCCCTGGCTGGCTTGTAACTCAGTATGTAGACCAGGCGGGCCTCTGATTCACAGAGATCCATCTACCTCTGGCCTGGAAGTGCTGGGTTAAATTAAAGGCATGTATCACCATGGTTCAAAATGGTATTTTTTAAAAAATTTATATACTGTGGAATCTTAGAAGAGTGGATAAAATTATCTATATTCCAGATTTTGTTACAGATAAATGATATATCTGTTTTTAATATTGGATTATGTTTTTTAATTTCAGTAATTGTGAGTGCTTGTCTCATATCTTTTTTTGTGTAGAGGGACAGTGAGGACCAACAACTCAGAAACAGCTCACTACTGTTTACATTGTATAAATATCACACACAATGGAGAGGTAGAGTCGACGTTAGCATGTGAGCACTGTAGAATCAGAATGAATCTGGCTCTAAATTGCTATGTCAGGCATTAGTCAGATGACCTGTGTTAAAGGTCAAACTCAGAACCGCTTTAGAGTTTTTGATCTGATAGACTTCTATTTAGAAATTGTCCAGGAATTGTGGTAGAGTTTTAGCTGAGTGGGAAAGCACTTGCCTAGCACTTGCTCAAGGCCCTGGTTCTCATCCTCAGTACTGCAATAGAATTATCCATGTCAGTTTATTTTATTCCTTAAACTGTTCAAAATGTCTATATTTCTTTTATATTTGTCCAAAACCCTCAATGACTGCGTTAAATACAGTATTTGCATCTCACCATGCAATAATCCCTGAACCTTTGGGGACTTTGTAAATGGAATACTCTTACACTTTGCATAAAGCAGCCCAACAATTCCTCTTAATGTGTACTTGAACTGGGGGATACTTTGTATATTGATTAAATTTAGACCTCAAATGACTTCTTACAGAGAAACTAAACAATACTTTTGAAAATCTTTTTGTAAGTTTTGGTAAATCTCTTTAGCTGTGTTTTATACCTAAAGTACGAGTATCAATTTTCAAATTAAGGTGGTAGGTGCTATAAATTTCCACTGACAGGAAGGAGTGGACTACCCTTGATTATCAAAAGGATGGCTATATGTTGGCACCAAGGACCGTTCTAACAGTAGTGCAGTAGTGCTTACCTTATTAATTTAACAATAAATGTTTACAAGGACTTTCAGTACAGGCCCTAGTAAGAAATCTCTTCATGGAAGGAGGAAAAGGTATGTGCTGAATGTCAGTAATACTGTCTACAACCTCGAGCAGAAAACTGACCACTACCTGAAGTGCCAGCATGAGCAAAGGTAAGACTCCTGGCTTTCCTATTTTGACACTACAACTTTTGCACATTTCTTGATACTCGTGAATAAACCATTTGCTAAGTACTAGCTGGTATTTTCTGTTTGTTGAAACCTCTAATGAAAACTTCATATGGCTTAGGCTTGCTATAGAAAATAACACCTTGTGGTATTGTATTCCCACAAATATTGTGCATGCTAATAAACTTATCTGGGGTCAGAGACAGAGCAGCCACAATATTAAACATAAAGGATAGGCAGTGGTAGCACACGCCTTTAATCCTAGCATTCCAGAGGCAGAAATCCATGTGTTCAAGGATACAGACAGGCATGGTGACTCATCACGCCTTTAATCCCACAAAGCGAGCCTTTAATCCCACAAAGCGAGCCTTTAATCCCACAAAGCGAGCCTTTAATCCCAGGGAAAGGTGGTAGAAAGCAGAAAGGTATATAAGGCGTGAGGACCAGAAAGTAGAAGCATTTGGCCTGGTTAAGCATTGGGCTGGTTAAGCTTTCAGGCTTTGGAGCAACACAGTTCAGCTGAGATTCATTTGGATGAGGACTCAGAGGCTTCCAGTCTGAGGAAACAGGACCAGCTGAGGAATTGGCAAGGTGAGATAGCTGTGGCTTGTTCTGTCTCTCTGATCTACCAGCATTGACCCCAATAACTGGCCTCAGGTTTGTTTTATTAATAAGACCATTTAAGATTCATGCTACAACACCTTTCAGCCTATATCCTCACATTATAAACAGAGTGCGCTATATTGCTAAGCTGTCAGTAAAGATGACCTTTTTGTCTTCTCAATTTAATATATTTCAATTTATACACCATAAAGAATTTGCATGTATGTGGTGGCTGGGTCAATGCTGACTATCTCAAAATATTTTCCATATAAGAGATGCTCAATCATATGGGGGAAAAAGATAAACCTTATAGGAAAATAATCTATAAATTTATGGAGCAAGGTTGACCCTTTAGTAAATTACAAATATCCAAATCCTCACTGGCACAACGTGAGGAAGAGTGGGTAGGCCTCCACAGAATTCTCTGATGGTAGTGGATGTGCATGCTCATTGGATCTGTTCTCCAGAAAGAGGAAATAAAGGAGAAGCTGTATGTGTCAGGAAGGTGAATACTTGTGGAATATTAATAGAATACTAATGATAATTCTCCATAAGTTTTCTAGAGCTAAGGTATTTGAAGTGACTTCTCTCTCAGCCAAGGAGGAACAAATACTGTCAGTGTAAGATGAAATAATCCACATGGGCTTCCTTTTCTCTGTCAGAATATTTTAGATGCCATTTCCCCATCCTCCATCGATAGTGTTAGTGAGGGCAAGTCAGTCGTGCTTCGAATGCACTTTCTTCATATTGTGAGGGAATATCACACTGTTCATTGCTATCATTCACAGGCAGAAACTTTATCAAGACTATTCTCTTCAGATTATGAATTTGAATAGGAAGTTATCCATGGATGCAGATCAAGTCAAGAAACAGGCAGAAAAACTCTCTGTGAGTATCAGCCTTAGCTTTGAAGGAATCCATTGTGTCAGCACCAGAAGTAGTAGGGCTTCCTGCAGCAAGTCTGGAGGAAAGGGACAGGACAAGAGCTTAGGGAGACAAGGATGGTGGTTGATGTGGTCAGGAGAGACTGGCCGGCTCCTCCCCCTCCCCCCCACCCCCCCACCCCCCGGGCGTGTTCCTTTCCCTGCCAAGACACAGCAAGGTCAGTGATGGGTTAGGAGCAGTCATGGTGGGGGGATGAGCAGGCACTGCCTGGAGAGTACAGGAGAAGGTATGGGATTGTATCCTGAGAGGGAGCCCTTCATGATCCACGACATACGGAGGGAGATGGAGACGCCGTCCAGTCCAGTGGTCAGGAGCATGGCCTCTGCAATCCCACCAGCTGGAATGCAGTCACAGTTCAGTCACTTGCTAGTTAACGCTAACTCAGGAAAATAATTTACCTCTGTGCCTCGGATTCCTAGAAGTGAAAGGAGAGATACTTAAAGTGCCTATGTCACGGAATTGAGCCAAAATATCACATCTAAACACTTTGAGATGTGTATTCTTATATCGGTCCAGGACAGTATCTGAAGTAAGTCTTACAGAACCCTTCCCTGTTAAGCATGGCACTGTGGGCTCTACTCTCACTGGGAAGGACAAAATGGAGTGGGTTCCTATGTAGGGGAGTGACAGATGGCCACAGGGGACATCTCATGGTAATTTCTATAAAAAACAGAGTTCGACAGCTATGGAGGCCTCTAATGGGTGGGTTTTCAAGTCTTCAGGAGCTAACAGGAATGTTTTGAATACTGTTAAGTAGGAACACTTTCCATTAAGTGAATGGAAACTTCATAGTATTAAGGTTATTCTGTAGTATTAGATAACTCATGTAAAGCGGTCATTGTGTTGGTTGAAAAAACACTATAGTTATTTCATTCTCTGTGTTTTGCATAAATACAATACAGAGTCATGTTTCTGTAAGCTTTCTGTTTTTTTTTCCCCCCTGAATTGTTCTTACATCTTTTATTGTCTTTGTTTGCAGAATATGTTTAAGGAGCAACGAAAATTTATTCATCAGTCTCTGATTCTTCAGAAGAAGAGAATGGAAGGCTTTAAATCACTGTGTGAACAATACTTGGAGGTCTGTTGTACATTCCGAGGAAGCAGCCTATCCACAGGGCATTGAATACTCTGGCATTCTTTCCGTGCTCTTTGGAAAGTTACCCATAAACATCTTCCAGCATATTCCTCATGGTGTCACCGTTCCACGTAAACCGAAGTACAAAATGAGTTTTTGCTTTTAGGATTCACTTCTGGTTGGCAGAATCATTCGAAGCAGGAAGTCCTGCCTTGGCGATCTCATCTAGAGTTGTTCATATTGTACAGGGCATTAATGCTTTTCAGATCGTCTCTTCTTGTCTCACAGTACGTTTTCCGTTGGGTGTATGTGCACACAGGCACACACACGTGTACTTGTCTGTGGGTCTATGTGTGGAGGCCAGAAGCCAACTGTGGGTATCTTCAGTCACTCTCCAGCGTATCTTTCTGAGACAGGATCGCTCACTGAACCTGGAACTTGCTCACCACTGTGGCTAGGCTGGCTGTTCACCAGGTACCAGGGGCGGCCTGCCCTGCCCCAGGTCAACGTGTCACCACGCTTGGCTTTTAATATGTGTGCTGGAGAGCCAAAGTTGGCTTTGGCTTTTCCTACTTGTGGAGCAAGCTCTTTGCCCACTGAGCCTTCTTCCCAGACCCTACGATCCATTTTTAAGCAGAGTGGTGACAAGAATATATCACATTTGCTCTTGCTTTATTTCCTCAGTCCACTTTGATTTTATACCATTGCATGACTGAAACATGGTTTTAGATGGCCAATTAGAGTTGTAAGACAGCTCCCAGATGTAGCACACAGTGGAAAAGTAAGTGGAAGACTTAAGTAAGTGAGAGATTGTGAATTGAGAGTCACCCTCTGTAATAGGCCCGTCTTTGTAAATTCTTCCTAGGCACATTGACCTATGCTATCTGCAGGTTTACAGCTATTTGCAAAGGAATTAAGTACTCAGCATTCTGGGTTGTATTTTTTTTTCCAGACTTGATGTGAACTGGCTTGTTCAAGTTGCTGTTAAAGTTTTGTTCATCCCGAGTAATTAAGATGACCCAAACAATCAAGTTATAAGAATTTACCCCATGCCCCCATGCTTTCTTATGTTTAGCCCCTACAACAACTACCACCACCACCACCAAACACACACACACACACACACACACACACACACACACACACACACACACACACACACACACACACACTCTCTGCCAGTATCTGTTCCTGCTGAAATGTCATGCTTTTGACAGCCCGGTGGCCCAGAAACTTGCTTGCCCATTCCAACATTAAGATCTCTGTGTTGTTCCTGCTTCTGTGTTTTCTGCATCACCAGACTAAGGAAGAGGTCCCACAGAGTTCTATAATTCCCCCCCCCCCACAGTATTTAACAAAACCATTTAGATGTAGTATGTTCAATTACACTCAGCACTAAAGGGACCGTGGGGGTGGAAACCTTGAGTTTTAATTTCGTGGTGTTCAGTGGTCATAGCACAGGACAAGCTACTCCATCTCCAGAAGAAGTGGGTGAGTGGCAATAAATGAGCTCATGCCTCGTGTTCTCTGTTTTCATTCAGTTTCATTTGCTTTTCTTCTTGCTGTGCGGGGAGAAGGATCCCAGGGTCTCACACATGCTAGGCAAGCACCCTTCCCCTGAGCCACCCTCATTGCTAATACCTCATGATTGAACGTTCAGCAGTGGGTTGCGGGGTGGCAATGTCTGTGTCTCTTTGGTGGGTGTTTCGATCTTCATGTTGCACATGGTGTGTGCTTGTTTTGGAATAATTAAACCATGTCTTTTACCAAATTTACTCGCTTTTAAATGTTGCTGTTCACATTTGTAAACCAAGATGACATGGGGCTGATTTCTGCACATGTCTTTTCACTTTAGAAACTTGAGGTACTGAGGGATTCTCGGGGAAATTCTGTGGCTGAAGAGCTGAGACATCTAATAGCCACCTTGGAAATAAAACTTCTGATGGTGAATGTAAGTACTCAGTCTTTCACGTCGAAAATGATGATCGACGAGCACTACTTATTTTATCCCATTTAATATGTCCTTGTACTTAACAGCGCCAGCAAGAGAGTGCTGCTGCTCAACAGTCTCTCCTGGATCTGTTATTCTCATAATACCTTGAAGAAACGAAAGTCCATACAAGGGGAGCGAGCGATTGTTTCATGGAAATTCGCTGGGTGAAGCTGATTGACATTTGCAGCTTCAGTGACTACATCTTCTTGCGTCCCCCTGTTCCTAAAGATAAACCCAAATAAACCCAAGGATTTGTGTGACAGCAGTCCAAAGATGTCTATAGGAACCTCCAGCCCTCGGGTAGTAATGGCGAGTTTTTCTTTTCTTGGTAGCATCATAATTAACAGTTAGCACTGCGTTGATGTCGATACAGTGGGGTCTCATACCTCAGCATCACTTTCAGAAATCAGAAGGCACAAGAGTGGTCCACCCTTGTCATCTTCAGAGAAATAATTAAAGAAGACACACTCTTGCCATTACATTCCGCTATTAAATTTGTTCAGTCATGGAGCCTATGGGGATGACCATAACCGTCCAAAGGGAATGTGCCCTGTATACTTCATAAAAGACTGTGCCCCTGAATTAGTTAAACTGGTAGAATTCCTTAAACCTCCCGAGTAAGAAAGATGTGAGTAATGTGACATAAGTTTTTGGAAATGTCACTTTCAGACAAAATTTACAAGGTCTTTGAATTAAATGGGGTCTGCTACCCAAATGTCATCTGCCTGTCACACCTTAAGAGTTGATCCTTAGCACCTGTACAGCTCAGTTCCTCATAGTTTATGTATTTTGTCCTTTGCATGGATAGGAGTAACTAGGAATGTTTTGTTTTTCAAATTTATTGTGCACGTAGTATGTGAGCATCAGTGATATACTGAGGTCTTCTGTACAGTTAAAGCTCTTGTCCTGTGATTTCCTTTATATATACACACGCACCATGGGAAATCTTTACCTGGAAACATTTGATTTAATAAACATGACATTGTTTCAGACTTGCTGGGATGAGTCATTTAATTGCCCTCCCTTCCTGACGTTTCATGCCTTTTAAAACAAAAATGGTCCCATGCCGTGTAGAGGGGTGCTGTCACCCACGTTTCTGCATGGGGCCAGTTGTAGTCCCGACCACTTGTCTCATTGTGTCTTGTTGTGTAGAAGCACTGAAAACAGAGTGCGTTCAGCATCTCCCCTTTTCTACAAGTGGAATTCGTTCCTGTACAGTCAATGAGGGCTTCCCCTCTGGGATCACTTTACTTCCTAAACTTTGAATTATCTGGGGGATCTTCCCTGCTTTGTGCAAAGTATGTGTGAGTGTATGGACCTTTAGTACTATTTCCAGCTTTGAGTATCTCCTACCTGAGATATTCTGATGATCGATACCAAATGATAAATACATTACCATAGCGGTGAATCCTGTATGGTTCGAGTGTGTGCATGTCCCTGTGTGTGTGTGAACACTTTGGTATGTGGAGCATGTGTATATGAGTTCGTATGTGTAGCACACATGTGAGAATGCGTGAGAATGCGTGTGCGTGTGTGTTTGTAAATCTTTTGGTATGTGGTGCATGTGTATATGTGTTCATATGGTAGGCACACCTGTGTGTGAATGCATGTGCATATGTGTGTGTGCGCGCACGCGTGTGTGCGCGCGCGCGTGTGTGCGCGCTTGCGCCCAAGGGGGTGCACATATGCCACCACACGTGCTTTTGCACGTAGAAGCAAGAGATGTTCCAGGTATCTACCTTATTTTGAGACAGGGTATCTCTCTGAACATGGAGCTCATCGATTAGGCTAGAGCGTTAGGCCATTGAGCTCCAGGAATCCACCCTGTCTCTACCCTCCAGTGCTGGTGTTACAGACACTCACTTTGGGGCTGAGATTTTTTTTTTTTTTTGATTTATTTCCCTTATTTTATTTATATGTATGTGTGTATGCCTCTATGTACGTATGTGCAAATGTGTTCTCAGGTGCCCGTGGAGGGTGCCAGACCCCCTAGAGGTGGAGTTATCAGTCAGTCTCAGGCCACCTGACAGAGGTGCTGGGATTTGAACTCGGGTCTTCTGCAAGAGCAAAAAGTGCTCTTAACCACCGAGCCATCTCTCCAGAACCCTGTGCTGAGGTTTTCAAAGGCTTGTAGGGAATCTGAGCTCAGGACCTCATGCTAGTTCAGCAAGCATTTTACCCACAGAGCCATCTCACCAACTCCATGTATATATTTGTTTCTTAGGAGCTTGAACTCAGATATTTTATCTGTTCCTTGTACACACTGATGATGCATACAGAACACATTCTGACAGCTCTCATTATTTCACTGTGAGGCATCTAAACTTTGCAGGTGTGGGTCTTCCTCCCTGGGTACACCTCAGCTCCTATCACAGTATCCCAGGCTGTTGGGAGCAGGCAGGTCCTTGTGCTCATGGATCTCCATGGAAACCAGGAATGTTAAGGATGCAGAATTGTCTTTTCAATGGAAAAGATGTAAAACCTGTTCTTCCATCCAGAAAGCTGGGGATTGGAGGTGATTAATAGCCTGGTGATCTGCACTCTCTGTTGGGCCAGACCATATCAAACTCCTACAAACAGGACCAGAAGTAGCTAATAATCTAAAGGGCCCCAACAGCCAGGGGCTCCCAAAATCAGGACCAGAGATACCAAAGAGCCCAAATGACCTTACATTGCTTGTAGAGCCAGGAGCTCCACCAAGCTCCCAAGCCCAGCACCAGATATACCTAAGAGTCTAAATGACCCTTACATTCCTTGTACAGCCAGGGTCTCCCTTAAGCTCTGACAAGCAGGACCAGAGATACCAAAAAGCCCAAATGACCTTCACATCCCTTGTACAGCCAGGGACTCCCACAAGCTCCCACAGCCAGGACCAGAGATACCTAATAGCCCAAAAGGCCTGACATTCCTTGTACAGCCAGGGGTACCCCCCCCCCCCCAAACTCCCACAACCAGGACCAGAGATACCTAAGGGTCTAAATGACCCTTACATTCCTTGTACAGCCAGGGGATTCCGCAAGCTCCAACACCATTACCAGGTACACCTAAGTGCCTAAATGACCATTATAATCCTTATACAGCAGGGACTCCCTCAAGCTCCCACAACCAGGACCAGAGATACCTAAGAGTACTAGTAACCCTTAAAACCATGCATGTCCAGGGGCTTCCCCAAGCTCCCACAACCATGACCAGAAATACACAATAGCCCAAATGATCCTTACATTCCTTGTACAGCCAGGGATCCCCGAAGCTCACCAAACCAGGACCTGAGATACCTAGGAGTCTAAATGACCCTTACATTCCTTGTACAGCCAGGGGCTTCCCTAAGCTCCCACAACCAGATCCAAGATACCTAATAGCCCAAATGACCCTTACAATCCTTGTACAGCCAGGGTCTCCCCAAGCTCCCACAACCAAGATCAATGACCCTTACATTCCTTGTAGAGCCAGGGGCTCCCCTAAGCCCCCACAACCAGATCCAGAGATACCTAATAGCCCAAATGACCCTTACAATCCTTGTATAGCCAGGGGCTCCCCCCAGTTCCCACAACCTAGACCAGAAATACACAACAGCCCAAAGGACCCTTACATTCCTTGTACAGCCAGGGTGATGGGGGAATGTCTTTCTGTAGGCTGCGAATTTGTGTTGCTCTGATTGGTTGATTAATAAAGCCATTTGGCCTATGGCAAGGTAGCTTAAAGGCAGGAGGGAAATTCAAAGGGGGAGACAGGAAGAAAGGAGGAGACGCCAGCCCGCCGTCCAGGGAGAAGCATGTAGCGGCACACAGGTAAAGCCACAGAACACGTGGCGACATATAGATTAACAGAAATGGGCTAAGTTTAAGTGTAAGAGCTAGTCAGTGGTAAGCCCGAGCTAATGGCCGAGCAGTTTTAATTCATATTAAGCCTCTGTGTGTTTACTTGGGTCTGAGCAGCTGCAGGACTGCGGGACCATGGGACCAGGCAGGACACAGAAAACCTTCAGTTACACCAGGGCTCCCCTAAGCTCCCACCCCAGGACCAGAGATACCTAAGAACCTAAATGACCCTTGCATTCATTGTACAGCCAGGGGCTCCCCCAGCTCCTACAACCAGGACCAGAGATACCAAATCGTCCAAATGAACCTTACCTTCCTTGTACAGCTATGGGCTTGCCCAAGCTCCCACAACCAGGACCAGAGATACCTAAGAGTCTAAATGACCCTCATATTCCTTGTATCCAGGGGCTCCCCCAAACTCCCAAAACCAGGAACAGAGATACCTAATAGGCCAAAGGACCATTACATTCCTTGTACAGGCAGGGGTCTGTAGTGGGTAGCCATTCCAGCTTTGATCTGGAAGTTCCAACCCCCACTGAGGCTTCGGTAACAGTCACGCCTACAAGGCGGGGCCAAGGGAGGACCCTGAAGACCCGAGATCCGGATGCACCAGCCCTCTTGGTTCCTGGACCCTGGACGCTGGAGGTAGGCCGAGCAGAGTTCTCCAGAGAGCACCGCTGGACTGCGCCACACCTTTCCCAGACCCTGTAAACTATCCCTTCACTTGCAAGTTACCCCACAAAATAAACCTCCCTTTTAACTACGTAGAGTGGCCTTAATAATTTCACCAATAGGGGTCCCCCAAGCTCCCACAACCAGGACCAGAGATACTTATTTGCCCTAATGACCCTTATATTCTTTGTACTGCCAGGATATCCCCTAAGGAACAAAGATCCCTAATAGCCCAAAGGTCCCTTACGTTCCTTCTACAGTCCGGGTTCTCCTAACCTCCCACACCAGGACCAGAGATACTTAAGAGTCTAAATGACCCTTACATTCATTGTACAGCCAGGGGCTCCCCTAAGCTCCCCACAACCAGGACCAGAGTTTCCTAACAGCCCAAATGACTCTTACATTCCTATTACAGTCACGGGCTCCCCCAAGCTCCCACAACCAGGACCAGAGATACCTTACAGCCCGAATGACCCTGATATTCCTTGTACAGCCAGGGACACCCACAAGCTCCCACAGCCAGGACCAGAGATACCTAATAGCCCAAAAGGCCTGACATTCCTTGTACAGCCAGGGGTAACCCCCCCCAAACTCCCACAACCAGGACCAGAGATACCTAAGAGTCTAAATGACCCCAAGTTCCCACAACCAGGAACTGAAATACACAAAAACCCAAAATGACCCTTATATTCCTGGTCCAGCCAGTCACTCACCCAAGTTCCCACACCAGGATCAGCGATACCTAAGAGCCTAAGTGACCCTTACATTCTTGCACAGCCAGGGGCTCCCCTAAGCTCCGGCAACAATGACCAGAGATATCTAAGATTCTAAATGACCCTTACATTCCATGCACAGCCCAGGACTCCCCAAAGCTTCCACAACCAGGAATAGAGATACCTAATAGCCCAACTGACCTTTACATTTCTTGTATAGCCAGGAGCTCCACCAAGCACCCACAACCAGGACCAGAGATACCCAATTACCCAAATGACCCTTACCTTCATTGTACAGCGAGGCGGTCCCTGAAGCTCCTACAACTGGGACCAGAAATACCTAATAGCTCCCACCCCCTCAAAAAAAAACCTGACATTAATTGTACAGCCAGGGCCTTCTCCAAGCTCCCACACTGGGACCAGAGATAACTAAGTGTCTAAATGACCCTTATATTCATTGTACTGCCAGGGACTGCCACAAGCTCCCACAAACGGGACCAGAGATACATAAAATCCCAAATGGCCCTTACAATCCTTATACTGCCAGGGGTTCCCCAAGCTCCCACCACCAAGACCAAAGATACCTAAGAGTCTAAATGAGCCTTACATTCTTTGAACACCCGGGGCTCCTCCAAGCTCACACAACCAGGACCAGTCTGAAAGACCATTACATTCCTTGTACGGCCAGGATCTCCCCAAGCTCCCACAAACAGAAGCAGAAGTACCTCAGAATCTAAATGACCACTACAGTCTCTGTATAGCTAGGAGCTCCCCTAAGCTCCCACAGCCAGGACCAGACATACCTAAGAGTCTAAAGGTCCCTTACGTTCCTTCTACAGTCCGGGTTCTCCTAACCTCCCACAACCAGGACCAGAGATACATAGGAGTCTAAATGACCCTTACATTCCTTGTACGGCCAGGGGATCCCCCAAGTTCCAACATCCAGGACCAGAGATACATAATAGCCCACGAGACCCTTACTTTCCTTGTGCAGCCAGGGTCTATGCCAAGCTCCCACATCCAGTATTAGAGATACCCAAGAGTTTAAATGGCCCTTACATTCCTTGTACAGCCAGGGACTCCCTCAAGCTCTCAAAACCTGGACCAGAGATACTAAATGACCCTTACATTCCTTTTACACCCTAGAGGCCCCCCAAATTCCAACAACTATGACCAGAGATACCTAATAGCCCAAATGACCCTTACATTCCTCGTACAGTGTCAGGCTCGCCCAAGCTCCCACGCCAAGATCAGAGACACCTAAGAATCTAAATGATCCTCACATTCCTTGTATAGCCAGGTGCTCCCGGAAGCTCCCTCAACCAGGACCAGAGATACCTAATAGCCCAAATGACCCTCACATTCTGTAAAAAGCCAAACTGCCACAAGCTCCCACAACCAGGACCAGAGATCCTTAATAGCCCAAATGACCCTTACATTCCTTGTACCACCAGGGGCTCCCCCAAGCTCCCAAATCTATGATGAGAGACAGCTAATCCCTCAAATGACCCTTGCATTCGTTGTACAGCCAGGGACTCCCCCAAGCTCCCAGAACCAGGACTAGAAGTACACAATGGCCCAAGTGACCCTTACATTCCTTGTACAGCCAGGGTTCTCCGAAGGTCCAACATCAGGACCAGAGATAGATAACTAAGAGTCAAAATGACCCTTACATTCTTTGTACAGCTAGGGGCTCCCTGAAGCTCCCACAACCAGAAGCAGAGTTTCCTAATATCCCAAATCACACTTACATTTCATGTACAGCCAGGGGCTTTCCCAAGGTTCCACAACCCCAACCAGAGATACCTAGGAGTCTAAAGGATCCTTACGTTCCTTGTACAGCCAGGGGCTTTCCCAAGGTTCCACAACCCCAACCAGAGATACCCAAGAGTCTAAATGACCTCTATGCTATCTGTACGACCGAGACCAGGCCTGATCCTTCCTTAGGTCCTTAAGCTAACACAAGTAGCCTATCTCCAGAACCAGTCTTCTTGGGAGAAATTATATGTACCCTGAGTTGAGTTTCGATGTAACTATGCTTCCTTCTGCACTGGCAATTGTACTACACCAGGAAACTTTCCCCCTGACCATAGTGTGTTTAAATTTACTGGCAATAAACCTGCCTGGCATCAGACTCCCCAAAGTTTGATCCAGGTTGACAAAGTCAATCTGAACCGAGTTTTTATTCTCACCTCTTTGTGGATCACTTCACTGCCTGCTGTGACACCTGCAGAGACTCCTCACATCCCTCTCCCTCTCCCTCTCCCTCTCCCTCTCCCTCTCCCTCTCCCTCTCCCTCTCCCTCTCCTGTCCCTGTCCCTCTCCCTCTCCTTCTCTCTTATTTCCAGTGTGCGTGCCTACAAACAGGATTGTCAGTCACATGTCAAACCAGAGGGAAGACATCGTGTAAGCCTGAGGGGTATCCTGACTTTGGGAGGTAATGGACAATGGGAAACACAGTCCCATAGACTGTGGGGATGTGTTCGGCCCTGCTGCCCTGTAATCGTGTCATTCTTCTATGCATCAAGGCTGTGGTGAGTCAGCTGAGTTTGTGTACTTTGGTGGGACAACAGATTGCATGGTTCTCATGTGGTGGTCTGTGTACTTTGGTGGGACAACAGATTGCATGGTTCTCATGTGGTGGTCTGTTTCCAGAACATGATTAGATGACCTGAGCCTCCTAAGCACCACCTTTATTTCAAAGCTGGAGGACTATAGCAAAGTGGAAAATATAAATACTGCCTTACAGGGGTCTCCTAGCTTAAAGTATTAAATAAATTAGCAACATTTTTGTCCCAAAATTTTTCACATGTTTCATGTTAAAATTATGAAATTGGATTATTTGTTTCATTTTTAGCAAGCAAGTACTGTTATGAAGAGAGTATTCTCTCACATTTGAACTGTGCTTTCTATAACTGTGTTAGTGCACCTATGTGCATGTGTACAGTTCCACTTACTCAAAAACTACATGACAAAGATGATTACTCAGTTCCTAGGATTTCAGTTGCACCAAATCTGTCTATCAAGGAGGAGTGAGCATTTAAATTTGTGTAAATGAAACTGCTGGAGAAGGAGTTGAGCACCAAAGATGTACAGCTTCGTCTGGCTCTGGATATGTTTACCTTCATTCCATTTATGATTCTGATCCAGAATAGGCCTGAAATGCCCATTGGTAGAAGGCCTGGTCCTGACTGGTAGTGCTATTGTGAAGTAGTAGAAACTTCCGAGGGCAGAGCACAGTTGGAAGTAGTAGTTTCCTGAGGCATGCATCTTCAGACCATTCTAGCAGCCTTTCCTTTCGTCTTTCTCTCTGCACATTGAAAGAGTATATCCATCAATTAGAAATGAAATTTTTCTGAATATCAATACATATCTTCTTTTTGTATCAATGTGTGTATTCATGATCTTGATCTTGTGTGTGAATGTACAAGTGTGGGAGTGTGCATGAATATATGTGAGCATGCTTTTGGAGGCCATAGGTTGATGTCAAGTGTCTCCTCTATAACCATATATCTTACTTTTTCAGGATTAAAAGAAGTGACTCTACAAAGTCTTCTACAGAGACTCTTCTCTGACATTCACATATATGCTGTGGCTCACATCATAGAAACACAGAAATAAGAATAATAGCCCAAGGAATGCACATCCTTCTGCAGAGATCCATGGACATGTCATCTATGAAGAGCATCAATGAACATGCTCATCCATGTTCATTGCTGCCTTTTTTTCCCCACGATAACTAGGTGATAGCCTACATGTCCATCAACTGATGAGTGAGTAATGAAAATGTGGTACATTACACAATGTAATATTCAGATACGAAGAAAAATGAAATGATGAAATTTTCATGTAAGTGGTTGGAGCTGGAAATAATAATTCTGAATGAGGGAGCACAGACCCAGAAAGATAAGCACTGAATGTTTGTTCTTGTGAGGATGCTAGCTTTGAATCTTTAGATATGTTTGCTTAAACTGGAGTAGCAGTAGGAGCCAGGAAACTTGTAAGGGACCATAGAGGGGAAAGACTTCAAAATAGGGGTATAGAACACAAGTGGTATGAAGGGCAAAGGGGAGATAATGGGGCACAGAGCATTGTGAGTGGTGGGAATGGAAAGTGTCTTAGTTACTGTGCTATTCCTGTGAAGAGACACCATGACATTGGTGACTCTGATAAGATAAAACATTTACCTGGGTCTTGCTTGCAGTTTCAGAGGTTTAATCCATGATCATTGTGGTGAGAATATGACAGCACACAGGCAGACATGGTGCTGGAGAAGTATCTGAAAGTTCTACATCCACATCTGCAGGTAGCAGGAAGAGAGAGATACTTTTGAGGCCTTAAAACCCGCCCCCAGTGACACACTTCCTCCAACAAGGCCACACCACCTAAATCTTCTCAAGTACTGCCACTCTCTGATGACTGTGAGCCTATGGAGGCTATTTTTATTCAAACAACCACAGGAGTGTAGTTCAAAGGAGGTAGGGGCAGGTGAAGCATTTACCTAAATTATTCTATTATCACTAAAAACATGGGAGTCAGATATTGGGGTAAAAACCTGGTAGATCAAGAAAGCAGCAGAGGAACGACCAGCTGACTGGTCAATAGCTGAACAGGATAAAGTTAGGTGGGAAAGTCAAACTGAGAATTCTGGGAAAGAGAAGGGCAGAGTCAAGAGTCACCAGCCAGACACAATGGGCGCAGGAGATGAACGTGCCAAGCTAATAAAGGTACCACCACATGGCAGAGTGCAAAGTAAGGCATATGGGTTAACTTTAAATGTAAGAGCTAGTTAGTAATAAACCTGAGCTATTTACAATTAAGTCTCTGTGTGGTAATTTGGAAGCAGCTCACAGGATGGGAAGACTCCACCTATACACACTCCCATTGTTTCATGAAGATATCAGAAGGTACAGCATATGGCTAGTTGGGGTTTAGACCTTTAGGATATGTTAATTTGAAAGTGTATCCCATAGGAAAGTCAGTCTGCCTAGGTCTCTTGCATCTCCCCAGTCTTTTGCTATCACTATCCTATCCACCATTTTGGGACACTGAATGTAAGAGAGCTACCAGCAGATCTTGACACCTGAAGCACAAACCATAATAAACCTGTTCTTTACAGTTAGCACCAATTGTGGTATTGTGTTATTAGCAATAAGAAACACAGTAAGGCAGTATGCAGAATTCATTGGTTTTGTGCCACATACCCTATTGGCCAATCATCAGGGGACTTTATAGAATAATGGTCTAACTCGGCCTTAAATAGGGTGACAACATGGGAAAAACACTTAGGAAAGTTGGAATACTACCCTGCCAGATGTGCTGGGTGCCTTAAACCAGTGTTTGAAATGATACCATCTTTCTGAAAGCAAAGATGCAAAGATCCAAGAACCACAGAAAAAAGTAGAATTGGCCACTATTTCACCTAATACTCAATTGGAAACATTTCTTTGCTACCTGCGCTGAGTGCATTGGGTTACAAAGTTTAGTAGGTCTATGTTGTCCTTGTTTAAATTGTTTCTGCCTTTTAAGCCACAGCTGTCTGAATCAGCAACTGCAACTCCACCGCTACCAGCAGCGGTTAGGCCGCAAGGGCTGTAGATGGAGGGAAATCTGTTCCCTCAAGCTCCAACTCTTGCAAAGCTATGAAGATAACTTAACTAAACCTCTGTCCCTCTAAAGAACTCAAGATTCAAAGGTTAAGGTGAAATTCTGCTCTTCAGAGAGACTGAATGAACAGCAAGTAGCTCACCTCCTCTCCTTGCTCAAGTCCTCCAAAAAGCCCTCATGCTTCTCCTCGCCCTCCTTATCAACCCCTTTTCACCTGGCTCCTCCCTACCACTTCCTGTCAGCTAATTGCTGACTCAGCCTCCTGACTGCACGTGAATTTTATTTCATCAAACACACCTTTGCATCATTAAACAAATGTTCCAGAGCATACACAAAAGTAACACACCTTGAAATAATATTCTACAACAGCTCTAGTTTCCAAGGCAAGCATATTTAAGGGAATACAATTATAGTTTTAGGGAATTCAACTTCTCAGGACACTGAACTGAAAGGCAGAAAGGGACTCTAGGTATTGGCTAGGAAGATAGATCTTGACTGCACAGGGGCAATTGTGTTATGTTTCACAATGAGAGCAATCAGAACCCTGGTTTGGAAACTGAGAACCTATTCCAAAGACTGAGTAATCTCTTGCCCACAACTTCTGGATAATGGAAACTTGCTGAGACCCAATAAAGGCAGGATCACCAAGAGATCACATGTGCTACTCAGAAGAAAGGTTTTGATCACCCAGTCAGGAAGAACCCAGGCTAGCAGAGTGTGCAGAGGGTAACATCAATCTGGAATGTATGAGAGAGAACACGCCAAGTCTGCTTACCAACATAGTCCTCATGTTCAGGTACAGAGAGATTATAACAATTACATTTTATGTCATCTGCTGCTTTTCCTATTCCCTAGACTGCTAGGCTAATTTATAAGGAAATCAAGGAATAATATATTACAAGAGGGGGTATGACCAAATGGGCAAATCCCCATAATTTTCGACACACAAAAATTTCTAATCTTTCCTACATATTTCTTGATGACGCCAAACCCCACCAGGAATAAAACCAAAGGAAACCAATACGCCAAAGGAACATCTGTCCTCCCGTGTTTATTTTCTCTATACTCAGAACAGCCAGAAAAACGAATCAACACAGTATCCAGCAACTGACCAGCGCATAAAGCAAGCAGATTGTTGCACAGTGGAGTCTCGTTCAGCCTTAAGGATGGAGTTACCTCGTTTGAGGCAGTATGGATGAACCTGAAGGGCACTAATTTATGTAACAAGCTAGGCACGCACAGCTAAACTACCACATTGGCAACAGAAACGAGAACAAAAGAAAAGGAAAAAGAAAAACAGAAACAAGATCACATCTTCCATCACCTGTCCCCCCAAATAAAACAAGTTGGTACCAGGAGGAAAGGCTGTTTGGTTCAGGTGACTTATCAGACCCCCTGGCCCGAGGGGGAGACTGCTTCCTGCAGAACGAGGTGAAGGAGGTGGTTCTGCTCAGCAGTCAGCAGCGGCCACATCTCCACCTGCAGCTTCTTGATGCCTTCTGTGTCCTTTTCATGGGCAGCCATGACCAGGGACTGCAATAGCAAAAACAGCTCCTCAGGAAGCTGGCCGCTGCTATCCTGGCCGTGGCCGTCAAAAGCCTCCCAGGAGTATTTCTCCAGAGTCTGGGCATGCTCGGGCAGCAGCTTGGCGGGTGGTGGTTGCAGGAGCAGCAGGAGCAGCACGCGGGACACCTCACACCTGACAAGGATGTCTGCGAAGGCACCCAGTGTACCGGGAGAGGGCGCAGCAGAGCCTGGGGCCTGGTCCGGGAGCAGCAGCGGGAGGGGCAGGGTCGGGGCCGAGCCAGGTCTTGGCTGGGGTCCCGGCGGGGGCGGGGGGGGCAGCTCGGGGTGCTGCACCGGGTGGCTGCCATGCTCCCGTGCCAGACGTTGCATGCGTGTAAAGAGCGCCAGGGCGCCGGTGTAGTCGCGCGCCAGCAGCTGGCAGGAGGCGGCGTCGCCCAGCGCCTGCAGGGCGGCCAGTGGCATCAGGGGCAGGTGCAGCTGAGCAGCGCGCTGAAAGTGATCTGCGGCAGCGGCCGGCTGGCCCAGGGCGCGAAGAGCGGCGGCCAGCTCAAGGCATAGAGCGGCGGCGGCGGCAGGCTGGCCCAGCTCGAGGTGAAGGCGCACAGCGGCACCCAGGGCGCTGGCAGCCGCCTGCAGAGGCTCGCCATAGGCGGCCGGACAGCCTAGGCGCTGGCGCGCGTCGCACTCCTGCCGCAGGAAGAGTCGAGCAGCCTCCGTTAGGGCCAGCGTCTCCCCGGGCCCGTGGAAGAGCGCCTGCTGGCAGCGCGCCACAGCTAGCTGGCACCAAGCGGCATAGGGCAGGCACTCCTGGGCGCGCAGTTCGCGGGCTAGCTGCGCGAACTGCTCCCCGGCCTCGGCCACGTTCGGCTTCCGCAGGAAGCGCTTCTTGAGCTTGTTGGACACCTGCCGATAGCGGACCAAGAAGTCCCCAGCCTCAGAGCCAGGCCACGCACCGCCACCGAGGGAAGACGCGGAGCCCGCCGCCATGTTAACCCGCCGGCCGCGCCTCCTGACTTCCGGTTGGGGTGCGCTGACGAAGCAGCCACAGCTACCTCAAGGCTAGCGCTTTATCTTCACTGAGATCACGCATCATCTCAGCTTCCGCCTCAGCGCCCCAGTGCTCTCTCCAGACCCCCCCCAACACACACACACACACACACACACACACACACACACACACACACACACACACACACACACGTTGCCAAGGAGATACACAGAGTGCTGCTGGAGGCAGGGTACCAAATGCCAGGAAAGCCAGGCAGAAAAGTAGGGCGGGGTCCCTGTGGCCACAGGCCCCATTTGTAAATAACACTGTGTGGGGGCCGCGCTCGTTGACACATGAGGGGCGGGTAACAAGAGCTGGGCTTATGCAAATATTGTAGGGCGGGGCCTAGCTTCTAGACCTTAACCACCTCCACAAACATCAGATGTGCCTGAAGAGGCTAGAACTGGTCCTGACAGGGCAGGAGACTTCCCTAGTTTACACCTCATTGATAACCATTGCCAAAGGAGCCTCCTGGCAGATCTTGCTGATTAATAAAGGTTAATAATGAGTCATAATCCTCCATGACCCTAGGCCCCACATGCCACTCGCTGTTCTACATCTGTGTCCTCAGCCAAAAGGCGTGCCTTTGCACATGGGTCGTCTCTGCTCTGTGGTCTCCCATGAGAAGGCCATCTTTCTGATGCAGCTGGCCAGGCTGGCCCAGGCTGGTTCAGGGCCAAGAGGTGCATGGGGGGTACCCCCATCCAGGTCCCCCTTGTCTCCCTCCAAAGCGGCTGTTCCTCCACCATCCCTGCCCGCCTGCCTTCCACACCTGCACCCCAAACACCACTGTGTTGCCGCACTAGGCCACCCTGACCTTCTTCCCCTACCTTCCACTCGCTCCCACCTCATGCCCAAAGGAAAAACTAGGGAAACCAGCCTGTAGGTCACCTGCACCCCAGCACCACTCCCACCCGCTGTGTTCCTCCAACTAGGCCCACCTCACCCTCTGCCCCCACCCCCACCCCCACCCCGTGCCAAAGGAAAAGCCAGGGAAGCAAACCTATGGGGTTCTCGAACTAAAGCTTTAATAAGAGCACAACAGGGAGAAGGAAGGGACGAGGCTGACCAGCCTCGCAGGGCTGTCTGTGGCAAAGTTTGGGCGGGATGAACTGATGCTCGGTGGGTAGATTGGGGCGGATGGGCAGGTCAGCAACCCAGAGCCAGCCAGCAGCAGCACCAGCAGCAGCAGGTAGTAGCTAGCGTTGACGTCGACGCCCACGACGGGGGCGACCAGCCGGGGCCACCTGGGAGATGGTGGCGAATTGGAACAGTTCGCTGAGCAGCGTGTTATTGTAGACAGTCACGTCCAGCAGCTCCGGGGTGATGAGCCTCTGTGCGCCTCGGCGTTGGGCCTCATTGCCTGCCAGCTCCAGCAGCCTGCGGGTCAGGAACTCCAGGATGGCAGTCAGCAAGATGGGCACCGTTTCGCTCAGCCGCCGGGCATGGCCGCCCTCCCGAAGACGGTGTTCCACCAGGCTCACAGAGAAGGTCAGCTCGGCTCTGGAGGTGCGGGAGCGGCGAGACGACGACGACCCTCGACGGCTGCCCTGTCTGGTCCTGGGCATGCTGGCCTCGGAGTGCGACCTCACAGGCTGGTTCTGCTCCACCTGGCGGCTCTCTGCTGGCCTGCTGGGCTCTGGGCCTCCAGGCTGATCCCAAGGGCCCCTCTGCGTCTGGCTGCGTATCCTAGCGACCCCTCACGGTCGAAATCCTCTCTTCTGTGCTCCCACTCCAGCTCCCACTGATGACGTGTGGTGTGTGATGGCTCCCAGCCCGCCCTCGCTAGGGGCGCTGTCGCCACCTGGACACCTTGGGCTGCTCAAGGAGCCTTCTAGGAAAGACAAAGACGTGAGGGGGAGCAACTCAGTGGTGCCATTGAGAACCAAGCCCTTCACAACCCTCGGCTTCTAAGGTACTTTCACCGTGTCTACCCATTAAGCGTGAGCTCTTTGTCCCTACCTTCCCCACCACCACCCACCACCCACCCCACGCCCCACCCAGGATCCCAGTCACCACTGTAAACCTGAGGGGTTTTCCCTTTTTCCTTCCGGAGACTTAAACTCAGAGCTCCAAGCATCCCGAGCAAATCCAGAGCTGCAGGCTTTCCTGGTCCCCGGGGCCCCTTAGCCGCTACTCTGCTTTCTGCCACGTCAGCTCATCTCCGAGTTGGACAGCTCTTGTAGGTGGAATCATTCGGCAAACCGTCCTCTTGAGTGTACCTGTGTCTGTCCGTTTCACTTAGCATCCTGGATTCATGATGTTTCACCCACAGTACACAGTTCCTTGTGTCTCACCTCGCCTATGTAGCGGCTTGAACCAGTGCTCCTCCATTCCTTTCCACACCCGAATAATAGTCCACTGTATGCTAACAAGTCTTTGGAGAATATTATTTTAAGCTGTGTTACTCTTGTTTGTGTAGCATGAATCTTAAAGAGTCTTGTTAATAAAACCAACCCAGGGCCAGGTATTGGGGTGAATGCTGGAAGATCAGAGAAGCAGAACAAGCCACAGCCACCTCACCTTGCCAGTTCCTCAGCTGATCCCGTTTCCTCAGACTGGAAGGCTCTGAGTCCTCATCCAAATGAATCTCAGCCGAACTGCTGCTCAAAAGCCTAAAGCTTAACCAGCCAAATGCTTCTAGTTTCTGGTCTCCACACCTTATATATCTTTCTGCTTTCTGCCATCACTTCCTGGGATTAAAGGCGCGAGTCACCATGCCTGGCTATTTCCAGTGTGGCCTTGAACTCACAGAGATCCATGCCTCCAGAAGGCTAGGATTAAAGGTGTGAGTGCCACCATTTTCTAGCCTCTGTATCTAGTGGCTGTCCTGTTCTCTGACCCCAGATAAGCTTATTAGGGTCACACAATATTTTGGAGAACACAATACCACCACATTCCCCCCCCCCCTTTTTCTGTCTAAAATTTAAAAAAGCTTATAACTAATGCAAGAAAAAAACTATATCCAATAAGTATATACAATATATACAGTCAAGAATTACATTAACGATGTCTAGTCCATTAACATTTGAAAGATTCAGACGAATAACTCCATTAATATATAACAACGTCCAGTCCATTTGCATTTGATAAACTCAGACAAAAAATTCATTACTTATCCTATTTAAAACAAGTAGTTCCTTTTTAAAAGTAGATTTAATAATTGACCTTTTTATCTTATCATATCCATATTCTCTTTTTTCTTTTCATAATAGATTCAATAGTCTACCTTTTGTCATTTACATATCTTCCCCTTTTTCTTTTTAGAGTAGATTCAATGATCTACCCATTTATCCTATGATTTCTTTATCTTTTTTCTCAGAGTAGATTCAATAATCTACCTCATATCTATATTCTCTTTTTTCTTTTTCTTTTTCTTTTTTAAACGAAAACTCTGGATCTAATCTCCTTGTTCAGCTTTCTTCCTGGCCAATAACAATTAACAACTTGTAACCAACCGTCATAAACAATGACAATATCCCTAACTTACTAAACAACCAAAAAACACCCACCCCACTTCTTGGGAATGTGGGTGTTGTGTTCTTGAAATTACTTCCTGCTTTCTGGGGGTGAAGACATCTTTAGGGAATCCTAAAGAGAAAATTTTGGGGCTAATTGTCAAGTCCTGATAAAGTTAGTTGTATCATTTGTCCAATCTCTGCATAATGGGAAAGTGCAGGGCTTGTCTCAAGTCCTTGCTCGAGTTGTCTATGAATCTGGATCATCTCAGCTAGCCATCTTGAAAATGTTCTGAGCAGTTTGTAGTCCAAAGTCAATCTTTTGGTGGTGTTAATCAGCTTAATGCCTTTATCATAGTCCATGTGGAATCGTCATTGTGGGCTCCTGTCATCTTTTTGAAGAATTCAAAGTTGCTGTTAAGCGTGGTCATGGTTCCTGTAGATTTTTATTTTTTATTTTTATTTTTCGTGCCTTCTCTGTGGTTTGGAGCAATCACAGTCTGATAAATATCTGTCTCTCGGAACCATGAATGTTCTTCCCTAGAAGAGAAAATCTTCACAGCAATTTCTCCCCACCATTTGTCTCGCCAAACGTTTCCAAACTGACCTTTGCCGATGCTTTCTTGTAACACGATGGTCCTGGCAATTCTTCTCGGAACAAGCAGCAGTAAACCCTTCGTCCCAGGTAGCAGCATCACCGCAGTCACCAACATGATGAGAAGCAGCTTGTAGCTCAGAGCAGAAGCCACCACCTCGGTGGTCCTGCCTCCACTGTTTTTGGTTTGGGCCAGGCCACAGCTTCTCCTTAGCAAGCCTCCCAGGCTGGCCTCAAACTCGGGATCCTCCTGCCTCTGGCTCCTTCAATAAATCCAACCAGTGTGCCACCACAACCAGCCGAGGGTAGCTCGGGCCTGAGCTGGGGCCCACAAGGCCACAGGCAAGCGGCTTTTTTGTGAATTTGTACCACGAACGTTGGGCGCCAGATGTAGCAGGAATCTTACAAGGTCTTATTAATTAACTCAAACCTAAGGCCAGTTATTGTGGTGAATGCTGGAAGATCAGAGAAGCAGAACAAGCCACAGCTACCTCATGTTTGTGTTTCATTTGTTTAACTCTGTGAAGCTGTTACTGTGCCTGTCTAAAACACTTGATGGTCTAATAAAGAGCTGAACGGCCAATGGCGAGGCAGGAGAAAGGATAGGCAGGGCTGGCAGGCAGACAGAATAACTAGAATGAGAGATCTAGAAGAAAAGAGGAAGTCACCAGAGAAGGAGGAGGATCCAGGGGCCAGTCACCCAGCCACACAACCAGCTATGGAGTAAGAAACAAAGAAAAGTTGGGGTATTGTGCTTATTTATGCAGCTCATTTAAAATGCAGTGTATGAATAAGAAATGAGGTTGGTGGTTAATCTATAATGATCAAACTTGTAGTCACATTAGTTATGTTTTCAAGGTTAAATAGGTATATTTTAGAAGAAGTGGTCTTCAAACACTTCAAAGACCTATGGAATATGGCATTTAAAATGTTTTGTTAACTTAAGGTGTTTCATGACAATGAGACACATCTGCTCCTGGCAGCACCAATTTCCTTCAGAGATGATGGGCATCAAAGACACTCCTTATGGAGTTTGCTTTCACTCTGGCAAGGTTAGCCACTGGGCAAATAATCTGCTCTTGCCTTTGACTGCTGACAGTGTGCTGTGCAGACTGGACTGTAGCTGGAGTTTTCTCCAGTCCTGCCCAGCACCATGGGCCCTGCAACCACTTATAAAATAATCACTCAGAAACTTATATTAATTAAACTGCTGGGCCATTAGCTCAGGCCTACCACTGACTAGCTCTCACACTTAACTCAGCCCATCTCTGTTCATCTATATGTCGCCACGTGTTCCGTGCCTTTACATGATGCTCCCTGGACGGCAGGCTGGCGTCTCCCCCAGCTTCCACCTCCCAGCCTCTCTTGTCTGTTTGTCCCGCCTATCCTATACTTCCTGCCTGGCTACTGGCCAATCATTGTTTTGTTTATCAATCAATCATAGCAACATATATTCACAACATACAGGACATCCCACAGCACTGGACATGCAGGACACACGGTGACCGCTGAAGTTTGCCAAAATGAGGCAGAACAGTCCTCCAAAATTCCTGTTTCACAGAAGAGTCTGTCAGATATTCTGCAGGACACAGAGAAAAGCGACTGATGAACTTTGCCAAAACAAGGCAGGACAGTCCCTCAAATTTCCCGCTTCACTGAAAAGCCTTCCAGATACTCTAGGCCTGTAGGCTGAAGATGGATGCCCCAACATTGCAGAAGAACTGTGCGTGACTGTCCAGGCAGCTAAATGTTTCTGTTGTTAGGCAATATTATTAAAGGCTAAATAACTAGAGTTTTGCAAATTGACTGAATCTTGTAAATTCTTACTTGATAACTGTTTTTGTTGTGTATAGTTTTACAATGTTAAAGTTAAAGCCTTTCTTGTTTAGACAAAAGGGAGGAAATGTTACAGAATATTATTTTAAGGTGTGTTACTCTTGTTCATGATGCATTTGTTTAACTCTGTGAATCTGTGAAATATACAGGGAATAGAAGAGGAGAAGCTCAGAGGCAAAAGAGAGTCAGGATAATTTTAAATTAAGAAAAGCTGGCTAGAAACATGTCAAGTTAGGGCTTGGCATTTATAATTAAGAAAAAGCCTCTGTGTGTGATTTATTTGTGAGCTGGGTGGTGGGCTCCTAAAAAGATTAAGAGAACAAACAACAACATAAGACTGTAGTAAGCTGGGCCAACAAGCACGAGCAAGGGAGATCTGCCCCTGTCCTTCATCTGGCAAAGGGTGGTGAAGAGGATGGAGAGAAGGCCCACCCTTGATACTTGTGGCAAGTGGGAGAGCTGGCCTTGAGATCACAAGAGCAAGAGATCTGGCCCTGTGTCTCACCAGCTGCAGTACCTCAGGAGAGTGATCCCTGCACCTTGCCTGGGCAGCATAGTATATCTGGCCCTGATAGTGTAGGTGTAGGTAAAGCTAGCAAAGAGGACATGGGAGTAGGAGAATTGGCTCTGCCACTTGTTTTTTACTATACAAGGTGAGCTAGCTGAGGGTGGTTCTGTAGAGCACACTCTGGTAGTGAGGGTGAGGGAGAGTTGGTAGGGTCACCAACCCAGCAACCACCCAGGCCCAAAACTAGGTCTATGAGTTGACCCATCCGTCATCCACCTCATCTATGATCTGCTGGAACATGTGAAGGGGCTGGTCCTCTGCACCCAAACCTGGAGTATTTCCATGACACAGGAAAACAGGATATCCAAGAGGACTCCCAGTGAGGGCCCACACCAATGATTCATTGCAATGAACACTTGCACGTAAAGATATATGGACTAAAGATACTGTGTGACTCACTTGGACACACTACACTTTTCATGATGTGATTTTGCTTTCTTTTTTTCGCTTTTAAATTTCATTTTATTTTATCCTGTGGGGAGAAGTTGCAAGAGGAGAGGAGAGATATGAAAGGACAGAGAGAGGAATGGAATTGAGATGAATGATGTGAAATACACAAGGAATCAATAAAAACAAAAACTAGAAAAAATGAAAAACATATGTATTCATTCTGGAAGATTTGAAAATCACAAATGAGAGACCTGAATATCTTACCAATGCTAGATCATTAGGCATTCAGAATAATAAAAAAAAAATAAAAAATAGAAAACCCACAAGCTAATTTGTCCTTCACAATAAATAAATTTACTTAGGTTGTGAATAGAAAAAGATGTTAAAAGTATTATGTCAATTTGATATTGTTCATACATAAACAGTGGGGTGTTTTTTATGACATTACTAAATTACACTTACCTAAAAGTAAATACACTAGATAAATTTTCTTTCATTTAAACTTGGCTATAGTCCTCCAGCTTTGAAATAAAGGTGGTGCTTAGAAGGCTCAGGTCATCTAATCATGTTCTGGAAACAGACCACCACATGAGAACCATGCAATCTGTTGTCCCACCAAAGTACACAAACTCAGCTGACTCACCACAGCCTTGGTGCATAGAAGAATGACACGATTACAGGGCAGCAGGGCCGAACACATCCCCACAGTCTATGGGACTGTGTTTCCCATTGTCCCTTACCTCCCAAAGTCAGGATACCCCTCAGGCTTACACGATGTCTTCCCTCTGGTTTGACATGTGACTGACAATCCTGTTTGTAGGCACGCACACTGGAAATAAGAGAGAAGGAGAGGGAGAGGGACAGGGACAGGAGAGGGAGAGGGAGAGGGAGAGGGAGAGGGAGAGGGAGAGGGAGAGGGAGAGGGAGAGGGAGAGGGAGAGGGGAGAGGGATGTGAGGAGTCTCTGCAGGTGTCACAGCAGGCAGTGAAGTGATCCACAAAGAGGTGAGAATAAAAACTCGGTTCAGATTGACTTTGTCAACCTGGATCAAACTTTGGGGAGTCTGATGCCAGGCAGGTTTATTGCCAGTAAATTTAAACACACTATGGTCAGGGGGAAAGTTTCCTGGTGTAGTACAATTGCCAGTGCAGAAGGAAGCATAGTTACATCGAAACTCAACTCAGGGTACATATAATTTCTCCCAAGAAGACTGGTTCTGGAGATAGGCTACTTGTGTTAGCTTAAGGACCTAAGGAAGGATCAGGCCTGGTCTCGGTCGTACAGATAGCATAGAGGTCATTTAGACTCTTGGGTATCTCTGGTTGGGGTTGTGGAACCTTGGGAAAGCCCCTGGCTGTACAAGGAACGTAAGGATCCTTTAGACTCCTAGGTATCTCTGGTTGGGGTTGTGGAACCTTGGGAAAGCCCCTGGCTGTACATGAAATGTAAGTGTGATTTGGGATATTAGGAAACTCTGCTTCTGGTTGTGGGAGCTTCAGGGAGCCCCTAGCTGTACAAAGAATGTAAGGGTCATTTTGACTCTTAGTTATCTATCTCTGGTCCTGATGTTGGACCTTCGGAGAACCCTGGCTGTACAAGGAATGTAAGGGTCACTTGGGCCATTGTGTACTTCTAGTCCTGGTTCTGGGAGCTTGGGGGAGTCCCTGGCTGTACAACGAATGCAAGGGTCATTTGAGGGATTAGGTGTCTCTCATCATAGATTTGGGAGCTTGGGGGAGCCCCTGGTGGTACAAGGAATGTAAGGGTCATTTGGGCTATTAAGGATCTCTGGTCCTGGTTGTGGGAGCTTGTGGCAGTTTGGCTTTTTACAGAATGTGAGGGTCATTTGGGCTATTAGGTATCTCTGGTCCTGGTTGAGGGAGCTTCCGGGAGCACCTGGCTATACAAGGAATGTGAGGATCATTTAGATTCTTAGGTGTCTCTGATCTTGGCGTGGGAGCTTGGGCGAGCCTGACACTGTACGAGGAATGTAAGGGTCATTTGGGCTATTAGGTATCTCTGGTCATAGTTGTTGGAATTTGGGGGGCCTCTAGGGTGTAAAAGGAATGTAAGGGTCATTTAGTATCTCTGGTCCAGGTTTTGAGAGCTTGAGGGAGTCCCTGGCTGTACAAGGAATGTAAGGGCCATTTAAACTCTTGGGTATCTCTAATACTGGATGTGGGAGCTTGGCATAGACCCTGGCTGCACAAGGAAAGTAAGGGTCTCGTGGGCTATTATGTATCTCTGGTCCTGGATGTTGGAACTTGGGGGATCCCCTGGCCGTACAAGGAATGTAAGGGTCATTTAGACTCCTATGTATCTCTGGTCCTGGTTGTGGGAGGTTAGGAGAACCCGGACTGTAGAAGGAACGTAAGGGACCTTTAGACTCTTAGGTATGTCTGGTCCTGGCTGTGGGAGCTTAGGGGAGCTCCTAGCTATACAGAGACTGTAGTGGTCATTTAGATTCTGAGGTACTTCTGCTTCTGTTTGTGGGAGCTTGGGGAGATCCTGGCCGTACAAGGAATGTAATGGTCTTTCAGACTGGTCCTGGTTGTGTGAGCTTGGAGGAGCCCCGGGTGTTCAAAGAATGTAAGGCTCATTTAGACTCTTAGGTATCTTTGGTCTTGGTGGTGGGAGCTTGGGGAACCCCTGGCAGTATAAGGATTGTAAGGGCCATTTGGGATTTTATGTATCTCTGGTCCCGTTTGTGGGAGCTTGTGGCAGTCCCTGGCAGTACAATGAATATAAGGGTCATTTAGACACTTAGTTATCTCTGGTCCCAGTGTGGGAGCTTGGAGAAGGCCCTGGCTGTACAATTAATGTCAGGTTTTTTTTTGAGGGGGTGGGAGCTATTAGGTATTTCTGGTCCCAGTTGTAGGAGCTTCAGGGACCGCCTCGCTGTACAATGAAGGTAAGGGTCATTTGGGTAATTGGGTATCTCTGGTCCTGGTTGTGGGTGCTTGGTGGAGCTCCTGGCTATACAAGAAATGTAAAGGTCAGTTGGGCTATTAGGTATCTCTATTCCTGGTTGTGGAAGCTTTGGGGAGTCCTGGGCTGTGCATGGAATGTAAGGGTCATTTAGAATCTTAGATATCTCTGGTCATTGTTGCCGGAGCTTAGGGGAGCCCCTGGCTGTGCAAGAATGTAAGGGTCACTTAGGCTCTTAGGTATCGCTGATCCTGGTGTGGGAACTTGGGTGAGTGACTGGCTGGACCAGGAATATAAGGGTCATTTTGGGTTTTTGTGTATTTCAGTTCCTGGTTGTGGGAACTTGGGGTCATTTAGACTCTTAGGTATCTCTGGTCCTGGTTGTGGGAGTTTGGGGGGGGTTACCCCTGGCTGTACAAGGAATGTCAGGCCTTTTGGGCTATTAGGTATCTCTGGTCCTGGCTGTGGGAGCTTGTGGGTGTCCCTGGCTGTACAAGGAATATCAGGGTCATTCGGGCTGTAAGGTATCTCTGGTCCTGGTTGTGGGAGCTTGGGGGAGCCCGTGACTGTAATAGGAATGTAAGAGTCATTTGGGCTGTTAGGAAACTCTGGTCCTGGTTGTGGGGAGCTTAGGGGAGCCCCTGGCTGTACAATGAATGTAAGGGTCATTTAGACTCTTAAGTATCTCTGGTCCTGGTGTGGGAGGTTAGGAGAACCCGGACTGTAGAAGGAACGTAAGGGACCTTTGGGCTATTAGGGATCTTTGTTCCTTAGGGGATATCCTGGCAGTACAAAGAATATAAGGGTCATTAGGGCAAATAAGTATCTCTGGTCCTGGTTGTGGGAGCTTGGGGGACCCCTATTGGTGAAATTATTAAGGCCACTCTACGTAGTTAAAAGGGAGGTTTATTTTGTGGGGTAACTTGCAAGTGAAGGGATAGTTTACAGGGTCTGGGAAAGGTGTGGCGCAGTCCAGCGGTGCTCTCTGGAGAACTCTGCTCGGCCTACCTCCAGCGTCCAGGGTCCAGGAACCAAGAGGGCTGGTGCATCCGGATCTCGGGTCTTCAGGGTCCTCCCTTGGCCCCGCCTTGTAGGCGTGACTGTTACCGAAGCCTCAGTGGGGGTTGGAACTTCCAGATCAAAGCTGGAATGGCTACCCACTACAGACCCCTGCCTGTACAAGGAATGTAATGGTCCTTTGGCCTATTAGGTATCTCTGTTCCTGGTTTTGGGAGTTTGGGGGAGCCCCTGGATACAAGGAATATGAGGGTCATTTAGACTCTTAGGTATCTCTGGTCCTGGTTGTGGGAGCTTGGGCAAGCCCATAGCTGTACAAGGAAGGTAAGGTTCATTTGGACGATTTGGTATCTCTGGTCCTGGTTGTAGGAGCTGGGGGAGCCCCTGGCTGTACAATGAATGCAAGGGTCATTTAGGTTCTTAGGTATCTCTGGTCCTGGGGTGGGAGCTTAGGGGAGCCCTGGTGTAACTGAAGGTTTTCTGTGTCCTGCCTGGTCCCATGGTCCCGCAGTCCTGCAGCTGCTCAGACCCAAGTAAACACACAGAGGCTTAATATGAATTAAAACTGCTCGGCCATTAGCTCGGGCTTACCACTGACTAGCTCTTACACTTAAACTTAGCCCATTTCTGTTAATCTATATGTCGCCACGTGTTCTGTGGCTTTACCTGTGTGCCGCTACATGCTTCTCCCTGGACGGCGGGCTGGCGTCTCCTCCTTTCTTCCTGTCTCCCCCTTTGAATTTCCCTCCTGCCTTTAAGCTACCTTGCCATAGGCCAAATGGCTTTATTAATCAACCAATCAGAGCAACACAAATTCGCAGCCTACAGAAAGACATTCCCCCATCACCCTGGCTGTACAAGGAATGTAAGGGTCCTTTGGGCTGTTGTGTATTTCTGGTCTAGGTTGTGGGAACTGGGGGGAGCCCCTGGCTATACAAGGATTGTAAGGGTCATTTGGGCTATTAGGTATCTCTGGATCTGGTTGTGGGGGCTTAGGGGAGCCCCTGGCTCTACAAGGAATGTAAGGGTCATTGATCTTGGTTGTGGGAGCTTGGGGAGACCCTGGCTGTACAAGGATTGTAAGGGTCATTTGGGCTATTAGGTATCTTGGATCTGGTTGTGGGAGCTTAGGGAAGCCCCTGGCTGTACAAGGAATGTAAGGGTCATTTAGACTCCTAGGTATCTCAGGTCCTGGTTTGGTGAGCTTCGGGGATCCCTGGCTGTACAAGGAATGTAAGGATCATTTGGGCTATTGTGTATTTCTGGTCATGGTTGTGGGAGCTTGGGGAAGCCCCTGGACATGCATGGTTTTAAGGGTTACTAGTACTCTTAGGTATCTCTGGTCCTGGTTGTGGGAGCTTGAGGGAGTCCCTGCTGTATAAGGATTATAATGGTCATTTAGGCACTTAGGTGTACCTGGTAATGGTGTTGGAGCTTGCGGAATCCCCTGGCTGTACAAGGAATGTAAGGGTCATTTAGACCCTTAGGTATCTCTGGTCCTGGTTGTGGGAGTTTGGGGGGGGGGGTACCCCTGGCTGTACAAGGAATGTCAGGCCTTTTGGGCTATTAGGTATCTCTGGTCCTGGCTGTGGGAGCTTGTGGGAGTCCCTGGCTGTACAAGGGATGTGAAGGTCATTTGGGCTTTTTGGTATCTCTGGTCCTGCTTGTCAGAGCTTAAGGGAGACCCTGGCTGTACAAGGAATGTAAGGGTCATTTAGACTCTTAGGTATATCTGGTGCTGGGCTTGGGAGCTTGGTGGAGCTCCTGGCTCTACAAGCAATGTAAGGTCATTTGGGCTCTTTGGTATCTCTGGTCCTGATTTTGGGAGCCCCTGGCTGTTGGGGCCCTTTAGATTATTAGCTACTTCTGGTCCTGTTTGTAGGAGTTTGATATGGTCTGGCCCAACAGAGAGTGCAGATCACCAGGCTATTAATCACCTCCAATCCCCAGCTTTCTGGATGGAAGAACAGGTTTTACATCTTTTCCATTGAAAAGACAATTCTGCATCCTTAACATTCCTGGTTTCCATGGAGATCCATGAGCACAAGGACCTGCCTGCTCCCAACAGCCTGGGATACTGTGATAGGAGCTGAGGTGTACCCAGGGAGGAAGACCCACACCTGCAAAGTTTAGATGCCTCACAGTGAAATAATGAGAGCTGTCAGAATGTGTTCTGTATGCATCATCAGTGTGTACAAGGAACAGATAAAATATCTGAGTTCAAGCTCCTAAGAAACAAATATATACATGGAGTTGGTGAGATGGCTCTGTGGGTAAAATGCTTGCTGAACTAGCATGAGGTCCTGAGCTCAGATTCCCTACAAGCCTTTGAAAACCTCAGCACAGGGTTCTGGAGAGATGGCTCGGTGGTTAAGAGCACTTTTTGCTCTTGCAGAAGACCCGAGTTCAAATCCCAGCACCTCTGTCAGGTGGCCTGAGACTGACTGATAACTCCACCTCTAGGGGGTCTGGCACCCTCCACGGGCACCTGAGAACACATTTGCACATACGTACATAGAGGCATACACACATACATATAAATAAAATAAGGGAAATAAATCAAAAAAAAAAAAAATCTCAGCCCCAAAGTGAGTGTCTGTAACACCAGCACTGGAGGGTAGAGACAGGGTGGATTCCTGGAGCTCAATGGCCTAACGCTCTAGCCTAATCGATGAGCTCCATGTTCAGAGAGATACCCTGTCTCAAAATAAGGTAGATACCTGGAACATCTCTTGCTTCTACGTGCAAAAGCACGTGTGGTGGCATATGTGCACCCCCTTGGGCGCAAGCGCGCACACACGCGCGCGCGCACACACACATATGCACATGCATTCACACACAGGTGTGCCTACCATATGAACACATATACACATGCACCACATACCAAAAGATTTACAAACACACACGCACACGCATTCTCACGCATTCTCACATGTGTGCTACACATACGAACTCATATACACATGCTCCACATACCAAAGTGTTCACACACACACAGGGACATGCACACACTCGAACCATACAGGATTCACCGCTATGGTAATGTATTTATCATTTGGTATCGATCGTCAGAATATCTCAGGTAGGAGATACTCAAAGCTGGAAATAGTACTAAAGGTCCATACACTCACACATACTTTGCACAAAGCAGGGAAGATCCCCCAGATAATTCAAAGTTTAGGAAGTAAAGTGATCCCAGAGGGGAAGCCCTCATTGACTGTACAGGAACGAATTCCACTTGTAGAAAAGGGGAGATGCTGAACGCACTCTGTTTTCAGTGCTTCTACACAACAAGACACAATGAGACAAGTGGTCGGGACTACAACTGGCCCCATGCAGAAACGTGGGTGACAGCACCCCTCTACACGGCATGGGACCATTTTTGTTTTAAAAGGCATGAAACGTCAGGAAGGGAGGGCAATTAAATGACTCATCCCAGCAAGTCTGAAACAATGTCATGTTTATTAAATCAAATGTTTCCAGGTAAAGATTTCCCATGGTGCGTGTGTATATATAAAGGAAATCACAGGACAAGAGCTTTAACTGTACAGAAGACCTCAGTATATCACTGATGCTCACATACTACGTGCACAATAAATTTGAAAAACAAAACATTCCTAGTTACTCCTATCCATGCAAAGGACAAAATACATAAACTATGAGGAACTGAGCTGTACAGGTGCTAAGGATCAACTCTTAAGGTGTGACAGGCAGATGACATTTGGGTAGCAGACCCCATTTAATTCAAAGACCTTGTAAATTTTGTCTGAAAGTGACATTTCCAAAAACTTATGTCACATTACTCACATCTTTCTTACTCGGGAGGTTTAAGGAATTCTACCAGTTTAACTAATTCAGGGGCACAGTCTTTTATGAAGTATACAGGGCACATTCCCTTTGGACGGTTATGGTCATCCCCATAGGCTCCATGACTGAACAAATTTAATAGCGGAATGTAATGGCAAGAGTGTGTCTTCTTTAATTATTTCTCTGAAGATGACAAGGGTGGACCACTCTTGTGCCTTCTGATTTCTGAAAGTGATGCTGAGGTATGAGACCCCACTGTATCGACATCAACGCAGTGCTAACTGTTAATTATGATGCTACCAAGAAAAGAAAAACTCGCCATTACTACCCGAGGGCTGGAGGTTCCTATAGACATCTTTGGACTGCTGTCACACAAATCCTTGGGTTTATTTGGGTTTATCTTTAGGAACAGGGGGACGCAAGAAGATGTAGTCACTGAAGCTGCAAATGTCAATCAGCTTCACCCAGCGAATTTCCATGAAACAATCGCTCGCTCCCCTTGTATGGACTTTCGTTTCTTCAAGGTATTATGAGAATAACAGATCCAGGAGAGACTGTTGAGCAGCAGCACTCTCTTGCTGGCGCTGTTAAGTACAAGGACATATTAAATGGGATAAAATAAGTAGTGCTCGTCGATCATCATTTTCGACGTGAAAGACTGAGTACTTACATTCACCATCAGAAGTTTTATTTCCAAGGTGGCTATTAGATGTCTCAGCTCTTCAGCCACAGAATTTCCCCGAGAATCCCTCAGTACCTCAAGTTTCTAAAGTGAAAAGACATGTGCAGAAATCAGCCCCATGTCATCTTGGTTTACAAATGTGAACAGCAACATTTAAAAGCGAGTAAATTTGGTAAAAGACATGGTTTAATTATTCCAAAACAAGCACACACCATGTGCAACATGAAGATCGAAACACCCACCAAAGAGACACAGACATTGCCACCCCGCAACCCACTGCTGAACGTTCAATCATGAGGTATTAGCAATGAGGGTGGCTCAGGGGAAGGGTGCTTGCCTAGCATGTGTGAGACCCTGGGATCCTTCTCCCCGCACAGCAAGAAGAAAAGCAAATGAAACTGAATGAAAACAGAGAACACGAGGCATGAGCTCATTTATTGCCACTCACCCACTTCTTCTGGAGATGGAGTAGCTTGTCCTGTGCTATGACCACTGAACACCACGAAATTAAAACTCAAGGTTTCCACCCCCACGGTCCCTTTAGTGCTGAGTGTAATTGAACATACTACATCTAAATGGTTTTGTTAAATACTGTGGGGGGGGGGGAATTATAGAACTCTGTGGGACCTCTTCCTTAGTCTGGTGATGCAGAAAACACAGAAGCAGGAACAACACAGAGATCTTAATGTTGGAATGGGCAAGCAAGTTTCTGGGCCACCGGGCTGTCAAAAGCATGACATTTCAGCAGGAACAGATACTGGCAGAGAGTGTGTGTGTGTGTGTGTGTGTGTGTGTGTGTGTGTGTGTGTGTGTGTGTGTGTGTGTGTGTGTTTGGTGGTGGTGGTGGTAGTTGTTGTAGGGGCTAAACATAAGAAAGCATGGGGGCATGGGGTAAATTCTTATAACTTGATTGTTTGGGTCATCTTAATTACTCGGGATGAACAAAACTTTAACAGCAACTTGAACAAGCCAGTTCACATCAAGTCTGGAAAAAAAAATACAACCCAGAATGCTGAGTACTTAATTCCTTTGCAAATAGCTGTAAACCTGCAGATAGCATAGGTCAATGTGCCTAGGAAGAATTTACAAAGACGGGCCTATTACAGAGGGTGACTCTCAATTCACAATCTCTCACTTACTTAAGTCTTCCACTTACTTTTCCACTGTGTGCTACATCTGGGAGCTGTCTTACAACTCTAATTGGCCATCTAAAACCATGTTTCAGTCATGCAATGGTATAAAATCAAAGTGGACTGAGGAAATAAAGCAAGAGCAAATGTGATATATTCTTGTCACCACTCTGCTTAAAAATGGATCGTAGGGTCTGGGAAGAAGGCTCAGTGGGCAAAGAGCTTGCTCCACAAGTAGGAAAAGCCAAAGCCAACTTTGGCTCTCCAGCACACATATTAAAAGCCAAGCGTGGTGACACGTTGACCTGGGGCAGGGCAGGCCGCCCCTGGTACCTGGTGAACAGCCAGCCTAGCCACAGTGGTGAGCAAGTTCCAGGTTCAGTGAGCGATCCTGTCTCAGAAAGATACGCTGGAGAGTGACTGAAGATACCCACAGTTGGCTTCTGGCCTCCACACATAGACCCACAGACAAGTACACGTGTGTGTGCCTGTGTGCACATACACCCAACGGAAAACGTACTGTGAGACAAGAAGAGACGATCTGAAAAGCATTAATGCCCTGTACAATATGAACAACTCTAGATGAGATCGCCAAGGCAGGACTTCCTGCTTCGAATGATTCTGCCAACCAGAAGTGAATCCTAAAAGCAAAAACTCATTTTGTACTTCGGTTTACGTGGAACGGTGACACCATGAGGAATATGCTGGAAGATGTTTATGGGTAACTTTCCAAAGAGCACGGAAAGAATGCCAGAGTATTCAATGCCCTGTGGATAGGCTGCTTCCTCGGAATGTACAACAGACCTCCAAGTATTGTTCACACAGTGATTTAAAGCCTTCCATTCTCTTCTTCTGAAGAATCAGAGACTGATGAATAAATTTTCGTTGCTCCTTAAACATATTCTGCAAACAAAGACAATAAAAGATGTAAGAACAATTCAGGGGGGAAAAAAAAACAGAAAGCTTACAGAAACATGACTCTGTATTGTATTTATGCAAAACACAGAGAATGAAATAACTATAGTGTTTTTTCAACCAACACAATGACCGCTTTACATGAGTTATCTAATACTACAGAATAACCTTAATACTATGAAGTTTCCATTCACTTAATGGAAAGTGTTCCTACTTAACAGTATTCAAAACATTCCTGTTAGCTCCTGAAGACTTGAAAACCCACCCATTAGAGGCCTCCATAGCTGTCGAACTCTGTTTTTTATAGAAATTACCATGAGATGTCCCCTGTGGCCATCTGTCACTCCCCTACATAGGAACCCACTCCATTTTGTCCTTCCCAGTGAGAGTAGAGCCCACAGTGCCATGCTTAACAGGGAAGGGTTCTGTAAGACTTACTTCAGATACTGTCCTGGACCGATATAAGAATACACATCTCAAAGTGTTTAGATGTGATATTTTGGCTCAATTCCGTGACATAGGCACTTTAAGTATCTCTCCTTTCACTTCTAGGAATCCGAGGCACAGAGGTAAATTATTTTCCTGAGTTAGCGTTAACTAGCAAGTGACTGAACTGTGACTGCATTCCAGCTGGTGGGATTGCAGAGGCCATGCTCCTGACCACTGGACTGGACGGCGTCTCCATCTCCCTCCGTATGTCGTGGATCATGAAGGGCTCCCTCTCAGGATACAATCCCATACCTTCTCCTGTACTCTCCAGGCAGTGCCTGCTCATCCCCCCACCATGACTGCTCCTAACCCATCACTGACCTTGCTGTGTCTTGGCAGGGAAAGGAACACGCCCGGGGGGTGGGGGGGTGGGGGGGAGGGGGAGGAGCCGGCCAGTCTCTCCTGACCACATCAACCACCATCCTTGTCTCCCTAAGCTCTTGTCCTGTCCCTTTCCTCCAGACTTGCTGCAGGAAGCCCTACTACTTCTGGTGCTGACACAATGGATTCCTTCAAAGCTAAGGCTGATACTCACAGAGAGTTTTTCTGCCTGTTTCTTGACTTGATCTGCATCCATGGATAACTTCCTATTCAAATTCATAATCTGAAGAGAATAGTCTTGATAAAGTTTCTGCCTGTGAATGATAGCAATGAACAGTGTGATATTCCCTCACAATATGAAGAAAGTGCATTCGAAGCACGACTGACTTGCCCTCACTAACACTATCGATGGAGGATGGGGAAATGGCATCTAAAATATTCTGACAGAGAAAAGGAAGCCCATGTGGATTATTTCATCTTACACTGACAGTATTTGTTCCTCCTTGGCTGAGAGAGAAGTCACTTCAAATACCTTAGCTCTAGAAAACTTATGGAGAATTATCATTAGTATTCTATTAATATTCCACAAGTATTCACCTTCCTGACACATACAGCTTCTCCTTTATTTCCTCTTTCTGGAGAACAGATCCAATGAGCATGCACATCCACTACCATCAGAGAATTCTGTGGAGGCCTACCCACTCTTCCTCACGTTGTGCCAGTGAGGATTTGGATATTTGTAATTTACTAAAGGGTCAACCTTGCTCCATAAATTTATAGATTATTTTCCTATAAGGTTTATCTTTTTCCCCCATATGATTGAGCATCTCTTATATGGAAAATATTTTGAGATAGTCAGCATTGACCCAGCCACCACATACATGCAAATTCTTTATGGTGTATAAATTGAAATAT